CTGTGAAAAGCCAGACATGACAAGTCTGGAGTACAATCGCATCAAAGAGGATTTTTTGAAAAGTTTGCCCAGTTCAGAAGAAGATCGAAGACAAGTAGAAAAGTCGACAATTCTACAAAGAGAGTCAAGTGAGTGGTTAGAGCTCAGAAGAAAACTTCTAACGGCATCAAATTTTTCCAAAATTGTAAATAAGCGACAAAACTCAAGTGTGAAAAATTTAGTAAAAAATCTTATATATCCAAAAAATCTAAGTCATGTCCCATCTCTGAAACATGGTATAGAACATGAAGCAACGGCAACAGAGCAAATAGCATTACAATTAAACATTCAAATAGAGCCTTGTGGTCTCTTCATAGATAAAAACTTGCCTTTTCTAGGTGCAACTCCAGATGGAATAGTGGGAGAAGACACAATCATTGAAATCAAGTGTCCTATAACAGCATTTAAAACATCTTTGGAAGAATCTATAGAGAAGAAAAAAGTGAAGTTTTGGAAAAAAACAAAAAACGGACTTGTCATAAATAAAAAACATCCTTGGTACATACAAGTACAGGGACAACTTCATATAACTGGTAGGCAAAAATGTATTTTCGGAGTATGGTCTGGATGCGACAAAGACGTTAAAGTTGAAATTATAGAGAGAGATGACCAATATTGGCAAGAAATGGAACCAAAATTAGTACAGTTTTATATGACATGCATGTTGCCTGAGCTATGCGATCCCAGACATGTTCGAAATATGCCAATAAGAGATTTAAGCGAATTAAATATTATGTAATTTTGACAATGTGTAATAACTTATGGTAAAAACCATATCTACCCTACCTACCTACCTATATACTTACTTATCCTACATCCTTGCCTACCTACCTACGTATATAACTACATACCTACCTAAGTATACTACTTACGTACCTACCTACTAATAGATAACAAGAAAACGCATCATATTTTTCACATATTTGTATAGCTACGTAACCTACTTATCTACATACTTACTTACCTATCTAATTTCATAGTCATACAAACCATGCCTTGAGAATCCCGAATAAAACAAAAAACGATATCCAATATGTTGCAGTCCTTCGGAAGTTATGTGCAGTCATACATTTCGGTGATTTATTTTGAAATTTGTATAATGGCAAAGCGTTTTACTACCACGCCAATGTACCCACAGAACCCTGACTGCAATGGTGACTCGCACTTGATTAGTTTTTTGTAACAGTAGAATTTATGCAGTGACTCAGAATCGGTTTAAAAAAATCTTATAGGTATAATAATAATATAGATACATTTAGACCTACTACATACAAAAACGGCTGTCAAAAATACGTACAAGGAGAAAATTATAAAACTCAAACGTACTACAAAAGCAATGTGCGGAACCCTCACCGTAACGTTGGCTCGTCTATTATTTTGTAGCAAATTTCCAGTATAAGTTGATCTCGCATTGTATAGGCTTTCAGTACAATGAGGGGTCAGTTTATACTGGAAAATTTAGCTTGATAAGCAACTGTTAGTAGGTACATTGAAATTCTTGCCGGGGTCGTGGTACTGTCCAAAAGGGCTATTGAGGGTACACCGTGGATTTTAGTCAGTAAGAGTCTGACAGTCCCGTCCGCTCCACTCAGGGTGGGAGGATTTTACCATAATAAAAAAGTAGGTAAGTACATTGAAAGTGATACCTAATTATAAAAGTTTATTTTGATAATATTGACTTATTATTAATAATTTTATTACTTTAGAAGTTTAATACTTGTCCCATAAATAAAGTAGGTAGTTTAGTCTACCAAAATTGCATCGTACTCGTGGTGTGCCCGCGTGACCGCGAGCAGCAGTGTGCGAGCGAGATAAAGAGTTAGGCGGCGCGGTGAAGTGGGGGCGAAATTAGAATTTGAGCTGAGGTTGTATAGGCCCTTAACAATATAGTTAATAAAGTACCTATTTTAATGTATATTTATTTAACCTCGCGCAAAGTATCGTTATACTGTACTGTGTACTTCTTATTGTTGGCATTTCCACCAGCTAAAAACAAATTAGTCGTATTGGTCGTAATCACTTTTTTTTTATTATTTTTCATCTAAGTGTTTATTTACGTATTGTATAAAACAAATTGAATAAATAATACATAAAAGTCATACTTTCAATGACGCATAATAAATTAGTAAATATTGACGTTTGTTAAATGCATTTAAAATACATATATCGAACAAAAGTATTTGTTTTAATTTTACTACTCTTTTCTACTTCTCCTTTATAGTTGTAGTAGTATAAATAGTAATATTAGTAGTAGTATTGATAGGATGTTACGATCGAATCATTGCACGATTTACGTAATACTTTCACTATTTACTACTTACACTATTTCACTATTACGATTTTGACCATAAAATATTATGTAATGTTTATTTTTACGATGGTTTATTCTCGAATGTCTCTGAGGGAACAACAACGTAGGTATAGATTGCAAAAAACTTCTAATTTACAATTCTTTCAAAATCAAAATCTTTATTTGACTTTGTGTAAGTACAAGCGAGTGGTCGATAGATATCGTATGAAATTGTTACTACTGCTTAGAGGTCAAATCGTCAAAATTATTCGCTACTGTTGCAGCCTTATTGCGACAATACACGTCCGTTTTTTCCATCCGATAGTCTGATCCGACTACCGGAAGGCGCTCGTAACATATAATTAAATGAACACTCAATACACGTACACGTACACGTAACGTGGCGGCCGAGTCGGAAATAGCGTCCGATTTTATTACCGATCCGATTGTCTGAAGGCGTGCTCTCTATACTTTTGCCGGGAGACGAAATACACGTCCGATTCTTCCCCCCGATTTGCAGCGTTGCCAATGCAAATTACTCAAAATCCTCAAAAATATTTCCATTCCCACATGTAATCATATTTATTCATTCTCAGTATTTATTATATTATTATTGCTACGCTTAAAAATATATCAAATAATTAAGAAAGTCAAAATGTACCCATCTATTACATATACGTTATGCCATAATTAGAAATAAACTCAACAAGTTGAATTAAGTTTAAACCTTACTAATTAAGCTTGACGAGTGGCAAGTTGTGGTATTAAGGTCTACCTATACATATCCGGGCCGTGCCTGGGACGTGGACGGGCCGTGCTCCGTCAGGGGCTCAAAAAATATCGTTGCGTTTATTCTGTATGAACTTGTTCACACATGTCCGTGTCCGGGCCGGCGCCGGGATGGGCCCGCAGTTTATACAAACTAGCACGCCCCGTCCACGTCCCGGACACGGCCCTGATGTGTGTGGATAGTCCTTTAAAATACCTACTGCTCGGCTTTGTTCGGCAACAGCTGTATTCTTTTTTCACACCGGGGACCGGTCAAAACGAGGACTACTATTTAAGAGCTAGGCTCTTGTCGGTGACTGATAATAGTAGTAACTTTACAATTCAAGACAAAGTGATTCTAATCCTACTGGATAATTTTATACATATAAGCGGTTTAGTAATAATTCTATATAAATGTTGTTATATAAGCAGCGCATGTGCGATGTTGAAAAAATATCAATATCTTTTATAAACACAAATAAATAGTGTTTTTATCAGTGATCATCAATGTAACAAAAATATTATGATAAAATTCTAGAAAGTGAGGGCATTTTCTCCAAATGGCGTAATCCAAACATAATCCCCAAACGCGTTGTTGAGTTGAAATTCCCTGTATTTGGGGAATTCCCCATAAATTGGCAACACTGCAGTTAGTTCAGAAAAAGTCTACGTAAGAATTGGACGCATATCGCACGTGTATTGAGTGAATCCGATCCGATAGTCGAATCCGACCATCAGACGCGAAATCGGACGTGTATTACTACACTTTAAAGCGATGCCACACGGGTATTGCCTCGTCGCAAACGCTATGATTTCAACGTGGCGATGGCGCGCCATATCAACGCACCGTGTGTGTGTGTGTGTCATTCCGATTTATATCTGTGTAACGCAACGCAATGCATCGTGTAGCATCGCTCTTAGTACGCTGAAATCACCCAACGCCGCCAGTGTGGCATCGCTCTATAAATTGTCAATAATATTTCTTAGGTTTGTCAATAAGTTCTTAGGCTTTCGCGATTGCTTCATATTGAAACTGAAACTATTTTTTCAAATTTTAATCGCATAATTATATTTGTTTTTCAAACAAACCGTTTTGGGTGGGCTGTTTACGGTCACGACTTACAAAAAAAATAATTGTTTCACTTCCAAAATTAAAACAAGTATACAAAATAGGTCTTACTAATAATTTGAAATTACTAGTAACGTACAGACTCGTTTACGACTAATTGTATATAACACGAGAACGTTTTCTTAAACAGCTGTAATACAGTCGTACAAGGTCGAGTTGACGCTCAAGATTCAAGTTTAAACCTATGTCGCTTGTGGTAAAAACCAACGACGGTCGAAAATGTCAAGTTTCATGTGCCTTTGAATGAGAATGTACCCGTGATTTAGATAGACGATTATTTGGTAGTAAACGTAACAACAAAAACCTAAGCATTGCTTGAATTAATCATTTTGTTACTATACAACCATTATATACAATAAATATAATATATATATATATATATATATATATATATATAGATAGATAGATAGATAGAGAGAGAGGGAGACCCGTTAAAGAAGTTGCAGTAGGTAGGTTAGATTTAAGAATCGCTGAACATTTTTATTATGAATAATAAGATAAAAGCAATAAGATAATACATGAAACAAAGTACAGTTTTGTAAAGAAACCATGACAATACATACCTAAAGATGAATGAGTAATGCCGAATGGCATCATAATATCTACGTAAAAATAACGTATTTGGTATATTCGAGATGCTTCTTGGGTTATCTTTGCTTGTAATATTGTCTTTAAGAAAATTTTGTAGGCAAAATTATAATAATATACTTATGTCAATATACTGTCTAACGTGTAACATTATAATCAAATTAAGATGAGTTTAACTTTTTTCAGGTCACACCGATGACTACAACTACATGATTGAAAATTTACTTGATAGATATCCCAACACCAAGTTAATTCTAGTTGGATTTAGCCTCGGCGGAAATTTGATTACGAAATACTTAGGTGAGGACAGGAAGAGGTCGCCCAATATAATAGGAGGCATTTCCATATGTCAGGGATACACTGCTATTGAGTAAGTATCTTGGTGCTTTTAATTCCTACTTATTAACTAAGAACAGGTTGACATGGAATTATTGGCATAAAATTATTTATGTCAATGATTCGGTATGGATTAGTCTGGACTTATTATTATTATACATAAATGTATAGTAATTGAACACCTTCTCATGAAGAATGTATGGAATGGTGATAGATAATTTATCATGATAATCGTGATGTTTTATATCGTACATTTCTTTATCGATTCTGTCTACGTTATACCTTTTTTAAGAACTCACAGTTAGTCATACACTTAAAAAACAAGTTGCAAATTGCGCTATAACGTTATTTACATAGCATTAAAATTTTCATTTTAAAATCATTTGTTTACCATTAGGTTTTTGCGACTATAGGTACGGTTACTCGATTATAATATGAATATTAATAAATATTAGACAACATCACATACATTGTTCTGATCCCAAAGTAAGTACCTAAAGCACTAGTGTTATGGAAATCGGAAACACACAAACACCCAGACCCGAGACAATATAGAAAAGTTAGTTCCTACACTGACTCGGCCGGGAATTGAACCCGGGACCTCACAGAGATGGCGACACTATGAAAACCGGTGTGCAAGCATCAATTTATATGTATAGTGACATTAAAATAAGTTAATAAGTAGATATTTTTTATTTTTGATACTCGATTATCGCTAAAATAAAGCACGACGTATTTCCTACACATTTTGCACAGTAATAGACGGTTATTCATAACTATGGTATTTACTTTCAGCACGATGGTGTATCTACTGCAATGGCAAAATTTCCGCCGCTTCTACCTCTACATAATGACTGATAACTACCGTAACATAATTACTAGGCACAAGAGAATGCTTCTAAACCCCGAGATGAAGAATCGATATTCGCTGGACGAAAATATGATTGTCTCGGCTGGTACTTTGCCAGACTTGGATGAAGCTTATTCCAGGTATGTCATTAATGCTAAATTATTTTGAATAAGACAATTTTTATTGTTCTACCGTTTTTAGGATTTATGCAAAAAGGCAAACTATACGCGATATATTTTCAGGCGTGTGTATGGATTCGACTCAGTAGCAGATCTGTATAAATGGAGTTCATCTGCGTTCTACCTGCATAATATTAAAACACCAATGATATTTATAAATGCTCGCGACGACCCTATCGTTCCGGAACCTTTACTTCCACTCATAAGAGAATTTGTCAGTAAGTATCCATCCTTTTATTAAACGGCAGAAGTGTTAACATCCGTTTGCTATCTTAAAGTAATTGGTTCAATTCTATATATTAGTACGTTCCTCTAATCGATATGCTATAGTGGGAATTATAAAAAAATCGATTCGAACAGCTATTACCATACATACCACAAGTGCTCAACTATTAATCAGCACAACCATATTAAATATTTATCACGTATCGTCACCTTGATTCTCAAGTTCAAGGTAATCGCGTAGTTAAATGGTTTTTGAAATTGTACGTGTATCGTTATGATATCATAACTGATAACGTAGAACGTAGTCACACTTCTCGACAGCATCAGTCACACTTTGCGACAGCATCACTAAAAACCTATTGTTTTCTATTTGTAAATAGGTGTGATAATCAAAGTTAACTGCTGTGAATAAATACAGAGAAATGCGTCCATATTCATGGTTATACTTGCAGGTTCACACGACAAATCGATGTACTTGGAATTGGCGCATGGTGGTCATCTAGGTTTCTACGAAGGAGGTCTTGTATACGCAAATCCAGTGAACTGGCTGGATCGAGCGCTGGTCGGGTTGGCTGGCGGACTCCTAATGGCGCATAATAAATGCTCGCAAAAGGATGTTATGGTAACCGTTACGGATACCATTTCAGACGACGAACCCGATCTCATCAAATCCACGACCATCGTGTATAGAGATCCACTAGACAAACCTATTAATGTATTCACGCATAACTAGCGAATCCTTGTCGTAGGGGAGTAGAGTTAAATTTTCCAGTATCCAATAGTATAGACTGTTATGTATTAAAACATTAATTAATGCGGGTTCAGCGCGTGTTCAATTAAAATTTGACAAATTAGCCAGTTTTTATTGAATACAGTGCCTTAAAATGTGCTAACAAACATTATTAAATATTGTGGCCTACCTTAAAAGGTGTTAGCAAGGTTCCTTTTGTTGCCTTAAATTACAGAAAAGTCAGGAGCCTAATTTTTTTACAGAAGTAGTATTAAATACACGTTGTAAATAATTAAACACTGCATTTTACCACTACTTACTTATTTCTTCGGCCGCAATGTTGTACTAGGAGGACTATACTGTACGGAGTTTGTGATATTTTTTCTTTGACCAATTATTTTATATTTCAACATAATTAATATGTGTTAGCATTTATTTATGTTTTGTGTTTTTATATTATGGATGATTTCAAGTACAAAATTGTGAATTGAAGTTGCTTAAGTCTTGCAGCTCTTACACGATGAAAGCGCGGGTATGGAAGCGGCAAAATTAAACACTTTTTTTAGTATTGAATCGCGTCTACATGTTACAATGAACGAGCGGGTGCGGCAAGATAGCGCCTTATGAATGTACTCCTTAATTGTAAATAGGGCCTTATACAGATTCCTAACATTTCGACAATTAAAGGGAATAAAGCGATAATATCCAAATCTAAATTTTACAGAACCAAAAAACAGTAATATTGTCTTCGTCTCTCGTATTAACAACCAAAGTGAAGACAATGGATGCGTAAATATATATTGTGAATAATGTATTATGAAGGAAATCCATGAAAAATCGCTGACGAATATGGTTCTTGATTATTTTGAAAAGTGGTTTTACGGCTTTAAAACAAGTCGGCAGTTTAGGTAATTTACACATACATTTTCAAAGCATTGTTTGTAAAAGATTTGGGTAATAGTATTTTGTAATCTAATTTTTCCGGTGAATATAAAAGCATTTTCTTTATATATATGTAACTGTCTGTCCCTCAAGAAATTAAAAATAATAATAATAATTTCAGAGCATTGCTGTGATTCCGGTAATGTTTTAAAACGTTATTACACCATCGATCGTTTTGTGAACAAAACAAGACATCATCCAAAGTAATTCTGAATTTTGTGTACACGGGAAAAAATCAAATGGTGAGTTTGAACCAAACTTGAAAATTACTGCTGATGCAGCAGGCATCAGTGGATGCTGCCATGGATGCTGATTTTAACAATTTAAAAAAGATCGTAAAAAAATATACAGATCCTTACTGAATCTACATTGAAGAACTTTTTTTAATGATCAATAACCTGAAAATGAAAAAAAAAAAAATATTTTCATAAAATCAATCAGTTTGTCTAGCTTAACCATACTGGAATTTTCTTAAAGGTAAGGACGACTGAGCTGTTTTTTCAGCTTGCAGTCTGTTTACGTATGGTTTGTAAATTAATGTCACGACGCGAATAACCGCAATGTCAGCTTCGATGAATATGGGGCTGATGCAGATACGAATATGTTAGTTTGTGCGGAGTATCCGCGGATGCAGATGCTTATATTCACAACAACCCTGAATTGAACTCCGTGTCAAAATATGAAATAAATAACAATCGTGCAACACGTTATTATCGCATTATTTCTTGGACCGTTGATTTTTGTTAACCTTTACTGGCATATACATGTAACAAAATACTTAAGTTGATGTAAATCAAAACCAGTAACATGTGTTAATTAAATTATTGTTATTTAATATGTATTTCGATTATGAATACAAAGAACGAATACACAGAAAAAAAAGAAAATTTTTCTGTGTTCGATCTTTTTTCATAACCATAACAAAACTAGTGGACTTATTTCACAAAAAAATCTCAATAAATAATATTTATTTTACTAACTTTTAGCGTACAAATATATTCAAAGCACTAAGCCAAACTTCATACTGTCTCTTAGTTAAAGGTCTAACAGATTAATACAGGGTAATTTGTGAAATAGTAACAATCTCGCAAGTCTACCTTTGTTCAGATTTTTTACAAAACAATGAATTTTTAGAGAATAATAAATTTTGAAGTTTTTGTTATACTGCCTCATATAGACATGTATTTAGTTGGCCATTGGCAGTAAGTTGTTGAGCTACCGCACAGAGTTATCACGATTTAGGGCAATCTAATATTTTTAATGAAATATTTTTATTATCGCACGACAGTAAAATCTCTGATGAATTATTATAATAAATCATGGAACAAAGTTGTTTACGATAATGTTAATACTACAGTCCTGCGAACTTGTTAGTATTGTACAAATCCCTGTATATTTTGTCTTTGTGCAAGTTCTTTGGACGTCTAAATATTGTAGCTAGGTGCAGTCTGTGTCTAATAATAATTATATGTATGACTTTATGACGTTCGATGATGATAGTGTGTCATACAAGTAAATTAGGTATGATGATCTTCGGAACTCGTAAATTATATTTACCTTGTGTATATTTCTCGACGCTGCGTCATCTGCCAATAAACGAATACTAGAATATATATATTGTGTTGCTTTAGATGTTTAAACTAAAGATGTCGGCAGTGTATCGTCAATCAAATTCGTCCATTGAAGCTTGATTGATTGGTAGAAGGTAGTAACGCACAGTGTGTTATAAAGATTATCTTCAGTAACAATTTTTTTGTACTGAAGAGTTATTTCCGAGGTGAAGACTACAATGTTACTTTTGTACTGCGTTTTTGTGTGTCTATTTCGATCAAAATATTGATCTCAAGTTCACACTAGTTTAACGTTAGTGTTGTTAAGACGTACAAATTTGTATTAGCACTAATATTGTGTCAATGAGTTCAATTTTTTAAAGCTCTACCGGCTTTACCTGGACCGGCTTTAATCAAGCATTACAGTTTTACGGAAAAACACACCCATTGTTACCCACTAGCAAGTATTCTGTTATATAATACAAAACTGAAGAACACTAATACCGAAAAAAATATGTTTGTTTCGAATCTCTCAACACTCAATCGCTATAGACGTATTAGTTCTTTCGTTTTACAAAGAGTTACATTTAGAATGAAGTGCAAATTTGTGGCTGTCCTGAGATTTTAAGAAATGTAGTGCTGTTCGCCATGAAGCAAGTTTTAATAGACACTGGTCGGGAAAAGTGAGCTACTAGTCTGCGTCCATAACTACAATCTATTATTTTTTAAATGTTCGTTTATGTGTATGGTACAAATAATTCCCGCACACCCGACCAGCTATTGCGTTTTTTGGAACCATATATTTGTTATATTGTTTCATTGTGATAATTTAATCTTTTAGATTGGGGAAAAAAAGGAGATCATGTCGAATTCCAGTGTAAACTTTTTGTATGGTGTACTCATTAAGAATAGCTGGTGCTCATCGGTGTTGTAGCTTTGTATGATAAATTGTCATTTTAGTCGTAAGTTGTTACGTAACAAAATATGAACACCAACTAACTAACATTTGAGAAATGTAAACTGTTCTGAAGTACTTATGATTGACTGAAGAATTTCTTCATTCTCAGAAAAAAGGTTTGTTAACAGCTATTGCTTACGAAAATAATGGAATAAAATATTAATGTATGAGCTTAAGTACGTTATATTGCTGAAAGATGTTGAATATATTTTATTTATTAATAAATGTTGATACTTGAAATAATAAAGCATTTTCAGTATTTTAGTTTATCCCATTCATATCGAAATTATTCAATACAAAAAGATTGATAAATAAGTATATTTCTAGTCAATAATATAAAATTTTAAGAGACGGGTGAATTTACGCTGCCTTAGAATCTATTAAGTTACATCTAATACTTAAATTAGGTATTTTGTAGGTGGAATATTGCAAATTAATGTTACATCATTTAAATAAGTGAACTAACCAGGACTGATTGACTATGTAAATAGACGTTGAGCAACAAAAATGAGATCAAGTCGTACAATATATGTATAATTTACATTTCGGACAGGTTGTACCTGGTTTATAACTCGCTTGTATTAGAAAACTTTTTTAATTAATGGTGATAAAAGGTTTGTCATGGAAATAGCAAAAGGTATATACTTAAAAATAAAAAATGTACTGTTAGAAATATATAAATGTAGGGATGTAACATTATGTTCACTCATGACATGACGCTAACTTTTCTAAAATTAGATTATGACTTAATAAGTATGAGAGAGAATCGAAACCCATGTGAAAGTTTTGGTCATAGATGGCAGTATGACAATGTTACGAGATTATTGATTAATTAAATCTCAATTCTCTAATATTCCAAGTACAAATATCACAACATGTCTTAAATATGATCTTACGTATCTTTACAATACAAATCTTATAATTACAATACACATTCATAGTAAAGTAGGTAATTTCAGATTCATATATTAGAGTAATTAATTTACAGAAGTTACAAAATAGATTTTAGTGCCAAGACATGTTTTTCTAACCTTAAGTCTTCAAAGAGAATTATGTACTAATGTACAAGTAACACTAAAATTATAAAAATAACATGGACACATGAAATATGGCCACTGGGAGAGTAAATAAATGCATACAAATATTTAAGATTCCTTTTTACATAATCACTGAAATTGTGATAAATGATCACTGAGATATTCCTAAAAGTATTATTACGTAAATTATTAATAATTTTAATCTTATCATTTATTTACTTTATATTCATTGGAAAAAATAAACTTTTAACATTCTAACTAGATTTATGGAACTGATATTATACAGACTTTTTACATATCGGATTTCAATCTGAGTATTTTTCAGAATAAATTAAAGCTTTTTTACAAAATAGAAATAAATTACGTAAATGCAATTAAATCACAAGTTTTTGTATCATATAGTCAGCATATAGATGCAGGATCGCCTTCCATAGTGCACGCTATATTATCTAATTTATGAGCTAAGTGCATTTTGTTTTCTAGACCTAAAATAATTTGTTCTCTATATTTACTGACGTAGATATACAATTCTTTCAAGGCAGACAGTGTATCGAACTCATTCAATTGTTCAACCGAAAGTTGTTGCATCGATGTACTGAGCTCTTGGTCTGTCACTTGGGGTAACTGAGATACAGCCTGATAAAACTGAATCACCATGTCTCTGTATGTAGGCAAGTCTTTAGCGAACAGTAATTTGTTTGACGGTGAGTCTTTACACAAACGGTGTTCTGTTAGCGAACAAGCATCCATAAATGTTTGTGCGATTACTGATAATGACGAGTCCACAGTGGCAGTTTTGTTTATATCAAAAATGAAATCAGGATTTTTTATGAGATTTACCCAAAATCGTAATGGCAAACTGTTTGACTTCCATGCGTGAACCACTTCTGGGTTCATAATTCCATGAGCTCTTGCAGCATCATCGAAAAGGTCAAACAGCCATTTGACTGCAGGTGGAAGAACTTCATTTACGGTAAGTATAGTTCTGAAAAAATCGTCAACAAATTTATGTACTGTGCCTTTAGTAGACAACAGTCTTGTTAAAAATATTTCTGGTATCGCTTTATGGCTATGTTCTGAAGATTTGCTGATGATATGGTGGTATTCTAGCGGCTTTACCAAATGATAGAAATGGACATTTTGATCTGTAATGTCACTGTTGTATACCCGTATATGTGAATTGGTGCAATATATTCCTGTACAATTTTTACATGGAATCTTGTAAGGAGTGTTGAAGGTGTCGTTTTGGCGTGGAATCAATGACATAACAGCGGATTCTTTGACACCATAATGAGCCAAGGTATTCAATTTGCGCCAGCCATTGACTGTTTTTGTTGTTACGTCTTCATCTTGAAGTGTTACGTGTCCACCCCTTCCGTGACGCCACTCTAAATCTACCTCGTGGACTGAGGGCCGCATAGAAAATGGAGTGTTTTTAAACAATGCGTCGAGAATTTTGCATTTTACTTGTGAAATACTATCACAATCTAATACTTTACACTGCACTTTTTCATCAAAATCATCCTGGACTATATGCAGAGTAATTATTTGATGTTCTATTTGTTCTTTCAAAAGTTTTTCCTCAGACAAAGAATATCGAGCTTCGTGTGTGATTGCATCTACAACACCTTTTTCAATTTGATGCTTGATAGCTTTGAAGAGCAGAAATAATGAAGATCCGGCGTAGTCTTTAAGATAGTAGTACATGCATAGTGCCATCCAGTTCGTAAGCATCTTTTCAACGACACTTTCTGTTCTCCTTAGCATCATGTGAGGATGTTTATTAAAGACAGATTTGTCAATAAGACGTAATAAAAGTGATTTGAGAATGTCTGTAGCATATTCCATTTTTCCCATCAAGATTACCATTAGCAGAGAAGCTACATTTACTTTGTCCCTGATGTTAAACGATTTTTGCGATTCTAATGTGTCTATAAATGACAACAGGAAACATTTATTGTTTAAAAGTTGCTCAAATTGGATCATGGCTGCATCGTAATTCGTCCTGGGCGTGTTAATAAACTGGCGTTGCACATTCAATATTGGGTGGTCCGATACTCCCGGGAAGAATACTTTCATGACGTAATTAACATGATCCAGTGTGGGAATTCCTGAATGCTCCAAATCAGCTGCCAGATCAGACATATCAGTTTGCAGTTCTGCAAAAGCCAACTTACATTCCAGTCTTACGTTACTCTCTAATGTATCCATTTGTATCTGTATCCTTTTATATTCCCTTTCCGCTTTTGTGCTTCTACGTCTATACACAACAAGTACTATCATAAAAATTAGGACTAAGAAAAATGTTCCAGCTGCAATTCCTGCAATAGCCTCTGGAGGAAAGTTATAATTTTTCAGTAATTCATAATGCAGATATCCAATAGGAAATCGCAGATTATGGCCTATTTTGACTACGACCAATGGCAAGTTGATATCTGTAATTTGCACACCATTTTCGTCTGTGTTAGAAGGTTGTATCTCAGGTGGAGTACAAAGTAACTGTTGCATAGTTAGACTAGTGACATTACATGGCTGGGTGCCAATGGTCACTACAACATCCGATTCATCACTCGCTCTTATCAGGTTTTCGCCTTCGATTACTAGAGGATCTCCTTTATAAGACTTGATTCTGTTAGGAAATTGATACACATGAGGATCTTCTACGAAAACCATATGAGTTCGCGGAGGATTAAAGTATTTCTCTAAGTCATGCATTGTTTCTACATTGTCCATTACAAAGCCAACTTTCATAGCTATTTGCGGGGTGCTTGTTTGAGATTTCGTAGCTTGCAATATATCGAGATATTTGTTATTTATAGCAGGGCTCGGGCATTCCATTTGATTGGGATTAAGGACTGTACACTCTGAATAATTTACAGGAACGAGTTCATTAGCGTAGTACAATTTCATGAGAGGTTTTTGAATGGTGTGCAGATTTGTGCCATGAACTGTTATCATTCTCCCGCCAGATACAAAACTTTTTAAAGGTTTTATCTCCATAACAGTTGGATCAGCTGTATAGTTGTATAAATCACCATTCAATGTTCGATTGGCGTTATCAATTTCAACTGTGAGCGTATTAATTATACGCGGTACATTAGCTTTTGGTGTAATGCAAATCAATCTGCTATTAGAAGTCTGAGTTTTATTTACTGAACACGGCAGCTCATCTAAGTATGCTGACACGGCCGAACCAATGTTCAAATGTTGGCCTCCAATTGCTAATTGAGTACCACCAGATATAGGACCTAAAGAAGGATAAATTCCTTGAAGTTTTATATTTTTGTAACTAAATAAGACTGAAGATTCAGTATAACCTGCATCATTTTCTACAATAACAGGGGCAACTGCAGATCCGTTAGAAGGTCCTGTACGACATGTGATGCTTACCGATACTTCAAAATCTACTATATCACATGGCACATCGCCAATACGAACTTTACCCGTTACTTCTTCAACTCTTAAACCGAGGTTACTTCCTTCAATGGTAACTATTGTGCCCCCTTCGATTGGCCCACTTAAAGGTTTAATCATATCAATTCTGGGTTTTGGACATTCTGTTACTGGGTTTTCAAGACATGTTTCACTGTAAGAACAGGAATTTCCACACCAAGTACACTGGTATATAGAATTCCTTGTTATACAGAGTGAACAATCTGCATGCTCCCTATGTGAACCAAGAATCTCACACTTGTATAAAGTTATAGTTACAGTGTCAATGTAATGTTTATGGTTCCAAACTACTTTCACACTAACATTATATTCTCCCACATCTTCTTCATAAGAATAAGTAGTTTTGTCACAAACAATATAATGATTTGATTCTACTCTGGCTGGCAGTATCATGTTTGCCAATTCAATGCTTACTACACACTGAAATCCCGTGTGTCCTGGTTGTAAGTGAGGTAAATTTTCCACTTCAAGTTCTAGTTCTTTTGGAACATTATTAGGTAACAAAATTGGTTTTTTATACTGTCGTATGCGAGGGCAGTGTCCTATGCCATGATTGAGTAACTTTGTGGGATTGTTTTCTCCACTAATTATGGTCCTCTGACACAATGAAGTGTCATGTGTACACCGATTATCATAAATACACCAATTACATGCCCACTCACTCATTATGCAGGAATGACATGTTGTGTGTCTGGAGCAATCATAGAAAGCAAAGTTTCTAGAAACAAAATCCTTATTAGTTTCTGAAGAATGTACAGATAAAGGAACATACACATGATCTTCATTAGATGCAATTTTGGGCCTATGTTTAATATCTGGTGTAGGACAAGCAAGACCATTTGATGTAACAGCAGCATCAATCGGTGGTGTGTTACCAAAAACACATTTATATTTAGCTCCAAAAGGTAATTCTGGCAAAGTCCTGATGACAAGCTGCACTGTTGTTACTTCATTCATTGATATTCTGTCTGGCAAAATTTGTTCAAAATCAATACATTGTTGACCTGTGTATTGAGATAACCACCTAGGTGCACTTTGAGTACCTTTTTGGCACATGCTTTGAACTGTGCATCGTTTTTCTAAAGAACACCAGCCACAATGAGGATCATTTGACTCTAAACATGAAGAACAATTCCCATGTTCTGCACAATGCTCAGTAGGTATTTGCACTATTGTATTTTTTCCAAGAATATACAGAGTTTTTTGATATGGTGACAAAGTAGTATCAGGAAGAATTTTTTGGCCAGGCAAAAGTTCTTCACTGGAATATTCTAATGCTCTTTCAGTGTCAATTAACACTTTTTTAAATATGCCATCACTTGTCCCAAGGAAAGCGACAGTGTGCAGGCCAGTTACTGACATGGTCACAGAAGTAACTAATGTGTCATTCCAATGGATTACAGACATTGTTTTGATTGGATAGAGGCCACTTATTTTAAGACCAACCTCACAAAAGTTAAGAATGTTCCCTACAGATCCAACACTAGGACATTTGCCATCTGATATCATACCTGATATGTAACCCATGTTACGGGCTTTAGTACTACCGTTGAAACACATATGTACATTTTCATTGAACTTAATTTCTATTTCCTGCAATGAAAATACACAAATTGCTGACTTTGCCATGGGTTCATTGCTAATGCCTCTAGACGGACTGAATGTTGCTACAAGTATAGAATCACCAGTCTCAACACCTAATTGTGATGCTAAAGTTGCACCTGCCCTAGCAATTTTAGCATCCTGAACTAAATTGTAATTGACAACTTCACTCTTACCATTTACAGTTTCTTCTCTAACTTGACACTCTAAAGTCACTTCAGTATAGCTGTTGTAGTTGTCATCATTTACACAGGTCCGAGCCAAGCGAGACACATAGCCCAGTTCTTCATTACCAGCGAGATGAGAATGCTTCTGGATTATCAAAAAATATGCATAATCACTGGCATTGAACCCATACACATATTGCACTAAAAAGTTATCTCTGTACTTCACATCTATTTGTATTAAACTTTGTTTAGAGAATGTAAACTGAGCAAGCTCCAGGGTCATTAGATCACGGCTGGATATAGCAGGAACGTCGTGCCTGTACTCCCCGTTGTTAGTAAAGGTTGTTCCCACATAGAGCACATTAGATCGGTCCCACGAGTTATATCGCTCAGGGCCAATAAAGGCGTACGTTGAAGCATCTGGATCATTCGCCGCAACGCTCACTGCCACAAACTCTGGTTCCGCTGACAAGTCGCCTAGTTTGTATTTATGACATGAACCCTGGGCAACAGATCCACAGGTGATCACCATCCTGGATTCTTGATCGATCACTAATATTTTGTTCACGTTGTCGTACCATGATGTTTGGATTTCGGGCGACGTGCAGCCGCTAGCATGACACATAGGATTATCGAGTTTAGGTCCAGTCCTTACGACATGAATAGGCTTCAAATCAGGACTGAGTTGATGAAGCCAATTCAGTGATCCGGCGTACACTTGTCCACTTAATCTATCTACAGCAAGATGATAAAATTGGAATGTCTCGTTTTGTTGATTTGGATATTTCGATATAAACTCGTATCCGTACGACAGTGTGCATCGAAGCCCGAATGTTATTATGACTAATACGGTCGTCGACGTAGCCATGTTCACATTGTATTCTGCTTTGAGATGAATATTTTACACTTTTTCACAACCACTACGTAGATTTTAATTCATTTCAACCCATTTTATATTTACAAAAATATTAGTGTAAAAAGCGTTCATCGATGCCATTGACATGGAATAAACAATACATTTTTTTTTCTTTAATTTGATATTGGAAAATTCCATAGACTTAAGGTAAACTAGCGCTATCTAGGGAGCGATGGGCGAGTTAAAGTAGAACCTCTCATTCACGTACTTATCTTGAGCGGCGTGCGATAACAATGAGGGTCGTATTTTAGAACTCTACTCAATGCTCAAGTCTTAGCAAGATATCTTAGATTTAAAGCATTGAAAATCATACTCAAGTCCTTGCCATTAGGGTCTTATTTCCAGTGCTTGAAGTCATACTCAAGTCTGCTCAAGTCAGGATTTGAGTATGGTTTAAAGCACTCGAAATCATACTCAAGTCCCTGCCATTAGGGTCGTATTTCTAGTGCTTGTGGAAACCCAGTGCAATCCTGACTTGAACAATGACATATAATCTCCTTTGTGCTTCCTAAATTATCAGTATGTGTTGTCTGTGATCGTTGAAGTGTATCTGTTATACAAATATTTTTAAACCTATCTATTGTACGTGTGCTCGTTTCTAGTTAATTAAAGCCAAGTTTCTATTGGTATTTCGTTTCCATGTATCAATTTAATTAACTAGTGATAATGACGGACTCGAAGAATGACTCTAAAGAATCTTTATCACATTCTCTAGCAAGATATTTACGCCCTGAAAGATTTGATGTTGAAGCCACGGATCCCGCTGCTGGAGATAAGTGGATGCATTGGCTGCGTACATTTACAAACTTCCTAACTGAACATGCCCCTGATTCTGGTGACGTAACGGATTCCATAAAATTAAAATTATTATCGAACTACTTGACAACCAGTATATTCATTCAAATCAAAGACTGTCAAACATTGACTTACAATTGTATGGACGTCGGGTCCGCGCTAAAAAGTGTCCGCACTTGTAAGGCGCTAAAATCGTATACAGAGCGCGACACTCCGCTTTAGTCTTCATTTGTTCTACGGACAGCGCGATACTGCGATGACATAACAATTTAAATTTCGAATAGGTTGACTTGGGACGTTTTTTTCGTGGTTTTTCTATTAGACCCGTCGTCCATTTATTTGTAAGTCAATGCTGTCAAAGCTACAGGGACGCCATTAATATTTTGAATAAAACGTACGTTAAACCTCAACATGAAATCTTATCCCGCCACGTCCTCGGAACACGGAAACAATAGCAAAGTGAAAGTATTTCAGATTACAGCCGAGCTTTGCATATCCTTGCACAACAGTGTAACTTCCAGGCAGTCTCAATTGAAGAACACAGAGACCAAGCTATACGAACCGCCTTTATAGCTGGTATTGTGTCACCTAAAATTCGGGAACGATTATTAGAAAAACAAATTATGTCTTTGGACGAAGCTTATAATCAGGCTGTCACTCTCGAAATTGCTGAAAAGGACTCTGTAACTATGAGTATGAGTGTCCAAAATACTATGAATGCTTTGCCAGTGCCAATTCCACAAGAATTACCAGCACCCTTCATACCGCTTCAACAAAACGCTGCAGTCCCGCCGCCACAGATATCAATAAAGCGTTGTTTCTTCTGCGGTGGTAAAGTACATCAAAGAATAAAGTGCCCCGCCTTTCACGCCTACTGTCAAATGTGTACTAAGAAGGGTCACTTTGCTTCTGTCTGTCGTTCCCGTGGCAATCCTTCTACAAGTAACGCCATCCCAAGCCCCGTCGCTCCAGTCGAGTTCTCACCGTGTCCATGTTCTCACGAAACAGTCAACACTTTATACTCTGCGGCATCTCCGTCAAGCCTAGAAAAAGCCACAATAGCAATTACTATTAATAACACCCGTGTCGACGCGTTAATTGACACAGGAAGTTCAGTGAGCTTTATTGATAGGAGCATAGCTCGGATGATGAAGTTACATCAACGTCCATATAAGCATACAATTAATCTGGCGTCTCTAAGCCACACATCAACAGTCAACGGTGTATGTTTCGCTACGCTAGAAATAAACAATCACATTTACAAGCAACGTCCTTTTCTCGTTATTGACAACCTATGCGCGGACGTCATTATTGGTCACGACATACTAAGGAACCATTCAAAGCTCGAATTCCAATTCGGAGGATCTAGACAGCCCTTGCATATTTGCGTGATGGAAGCTTCCGTACCACCAGCTTCTATATAGAAAATCGAGAAAAAAAATACACAGCATTTGAAGCCTGTGGTAAGCTGTGGCAATTCAAACGTATTCCCTTTGGTGTCACTAACGGAGTCGCCGCCTTCCAACGTTCTCTTGAACATATTATCGAAAAAGAACAGTTACGTGGGACCTTCTCTTATCTCGATGACGTTACCGTTTGCGGTAAAAATAAGGAAAAACACGACGAGAATTTAAAGAAATTCATGTCTGCTGCAAAAAAGTACAAGCTCACATTAAACGAACAAAAGTGTAATTTCAGCAAAAATTCTATTAGCCTACTAGGATACACGGTCAAGAATAATGTTATCGAGCCTGATAAGGACCGCCTTGATCCGCTTATAAAACTACCGTTACCGCACAACACTGCTGAACTCAAGAGAGCCCTTGGGCTATTTGCTCATTACGCCTAATGGGTCCACAATTTTTCTGCGAAAATTCAACCGTTAATCAACAACAGCCAGTTCCCTTTAAACGAAAACGGCCAGCGTAGTTTTAAACTTCTGAAATCAGAAATCGAGAAGGCAGCATTGGTTGCTATTGACGACAAAGAAACCTTGACGGTAGAGACTGACGCTTCTGACTTCGCTGTAGCTGCAACATTATCTCTAATTAAAGCCTTATCGCCATTCGAGAGGCTAAACATAGATTTTAAAGGGCCCTTGCCATCGAACACCAATAACAAATATATACTTACGATAATCGATTAATACTCGCGATATCCATTCGCGTATGCATGCCCAGACACATCTTCTGCAACTGTAATTAAGTGTCTAAGGGATATTTTTTATGAATATAGTCAGTCTTTATATATACACAGCGACAGAGGATCATCATTTATGTCGGAAGAGATTCAAACATTTCTCAAAAATTGCAATATCGCTACGTCTCGTACAACACCTTACAATCCTCAGGGCAACGGGCAAGTAGAAAAACTTAACGGAACACTCTGGCGGACTATACAACTGTCTCTGAGATCTAAAAACCTACCCATAGAGAACTGGGAACAAGTCCTGAAACCTTCACTCCACTGCGTGCGGTTACTTCTATGCACTTCGATAAATGCAACGCCACACGAAAAGCTTTTTAATTTCCCTCGAAGAACACCGGTTGGTGAATCGCTTCCAACCTGGCTTGTTCCGGGACCCATTCTATTGAAGAAATTTGTTCGGTCGAAAAATGACCCTTACGTTGAAGAAGTTGAGCTGCTCCACAGTAATCCAAGCTACTCCTATGTACGTCGACGTAATGGCCAAGAATCTACAGTGTCTAACAGGCACTTAGCGCCGCTTCCTATATCTGAAGAAGATTCACTCTCTGATAGTACAGTTGCTCATGAACAGTCAGAAGGTACATTGGTAGACGGAAGTACTTCTAATGAACCTAATGAAGTGTCTAATCACGAAGAAGACGTCCATGGAACTCTCCTGCAAGACGTTCGGCCTCCGGATGCTCTTCGGAGATCTACGAGGTCTAGGAGAATTCCACAACGCCTCAATGACTACATACTCGGCGAAGAAACCATAGAGGGGGAGAATGACATATAATCTCCTTTGTGCTTCCTAAATTATCAGTATGTGTTGTCTGTGATCGTTGAAGTGTATCTGTCATACAAATATTTTTAAATTTATCTATTGTACGTGTGCTCGTTTCTAGTTAATTAAAGCCAAGTTTCTATTGGTATTTCGTTTCCATGTATCAAGCATTGAGTAGAGTTCTAGAATACGACCCTTAAACAGTTGTATTACTGCCATCTATCGATGATAGAAATAACTACTTGCATATATTCTAGAAGAAACCATTAACTCACGATCAAAAATAATCGCCCTAATAGTCGACTGACTCATAAATGAGCATAGAGTATATTATTTCACCACAAACTACTAATTATTTCACTGTAGTCAATTTACCGATTATTTATTTATTTTACGATTATATATTGTCTGTGGAGTGGACTGCCGCTCGTTTGGTGTATTTGTTGTGGGAATTAATTTTTCTGAAAATAATCGAAAATGGTACGAATTGCATGAAAATAATGTGTGTAAACATGTAACTTAGTAATCGAACGATAATGTGATTCCTGTATTAACTTACTTATTTTCGTATACCGTGCGTGTATTGAGTACCTACATAACGAGGTTCCATGCTCGTGTAGATTAGAGGATTATGGACATGAAGCACTTGAGGCTGAGCAGCGCATGAACATTGTAAAATGATGACGTCCATGGCGGCTGGGGGCTCTGGGGACCCTCACACCCAGATGAACACCTATCGCAGCTATGTAACCATGTTGGCGGACCCGGGTGCCAAGGATGAAATAAAACTAAAAGCCGCCCAAGAGCTCAGCGAAAACTTCGAGGTAATCATTTAAAAAAGCCATGCTTTTCTAAATGCAAGAACATAATGCTATGAAAGCACGAATAAAATTTGCATCATATCGAAAGACTTTGTTTTTTTACCTAAAATACCACGATGTAAAAATTGCTATGTGCGTTACATCATGGTATTATAAAAATAATAAAATTATCTAGCTTGTCTCTACAAATCAATGTAATCCATGGTTTAAAATAATTAGGTACCTTAGTCAAAGTCAAATAATCATTTATTGCATTGGTAAAATGTTTCACACTTGAAAACATCATTTTTACGAGCAATAGCTTTACTGCTCGTTCACTATGCTGACCTCCCTGAGACGAAACAACCAAAAACTCAGGGGATTGCTCTTCAAATTTAAACTTATATGCTATAGAATACATTTTAAATTATATTTGTGTGGAATCTAGACTCACATTCTTTCCATACATTTTTATCTAAGACATAGTCTACAATTTTGTAATATGACTTTTCAATTAAAATACTTTTAATGTAAGTTTTAAACTTAGTAAATGGTAAACTTAATATATGCTCCGGAATCTTATTGTAAAAATGTATACAGTTCCCCATAAAAGAATTGTGTACCTTAGTTAAACGAAATCATGGTGCCATGAATTGGACTTAGTTCTAAGGTTAATATTATGGATATCTTCTTTCTTAACGAAGTAATGTATATTTTTTATGGGCATACAAAATATTTGAGTAAATGTACTGTGATGCCACAGTCATGATACCAGCCTCCTTAAATTTTTCTTTGAGAGAAACTCGAGAACCTAAATGGTACACAGAACAAATCGCTCATTTTTGCAACACAAATATGGTTTGTATATCTGCTGCTTTACCCCACATGAGAATCCCATAGGGCATTATACTGTGGAAGTAACTAAAGTAGTGTAAACTTAAAACAAGCAGGGGACTTACCATGAATTCTTATTACCATTCAGTTTAGCACCTAAAATGAGATAGGGCTACATGAAGTGTATATCACCATCCCGCTTTTTGTCATTACGAACCTACATATATTGAACTGTAATAAGAGTTCATGGTAAGGTCCCGGTACCTATTGATTTTAAATCACAATATTGTTTCAATTTATATTGTTCTAATTTTGTGCCACTATTTTAGGTCATACTGAGTTCCCCTCAATACCCTCAATTTCTTGATCATTCTCTAAAGATATTCCTTAAAATCCTTCAAGAGGGTGAGCCTCACTTCATAGCTGAGTACAATATCCAGCAAGTGAGAAAACTTATACTGGAAATGATACATCGCTTACCTATCAGTGAGACTTTAAGACCTTATGTAAAAAGTATCCTGATTTTGATGTTGAAGTTGATGGAAATTGAAAATGAAGAAAATGTATTGGTATGTTTGAAAATTTTCATGGAACTACACAAACAATATAGACCTGCATATTCTACTGAAGTTGACGTGAGTATTGTCAATTATTGTGTTAAGCATTGGTATAATTAAAAGTTATTAATTATTTCATTCTTTGCTTATCCTACTTTTTAATTACGTACCTTGTTAGCTGCTTGGTTATTTATGACAAGTCAATTTAGGGTAGCAAAATTAATTTCTTGGGTGAATTAGAAACATTAAATTCAGTTAATCAATCTAAGAACCTTATGAATTGGACCATTCAATATTTATGTTCATTACAATAAGTCCATGGTTTTTCACTATGCATCTATACATTATGATAATCTGTATTAAAGGTATTCAAATATAGTGTAAAGAAATGGCGACACTAATTAAAAAAATATTTGAGATTTCTTTTGTTGTGGAGTAATGTGAAAGTATACTTTCTGTGGTTTGCACAAGAGTTTGTGTGGAGTAAGTCATTGGTTTGTTAAATAGAGTTCTTAATAGTTTACCATGAATTATTCGTTAACATTGTCAGATATTCCTTGTATAGTTCCTAATGGTGGTTACTTATTAAATTTTTGAAATTAAGTTATTCCTATATTAAAAAATTAAAATTTTTCCTGTACTGGTATGGTTCGTTTTGCTTGGGTCAAGCGACAGGGACACTGGCTTTTTTTCAAATTTTATTATTTTATAAACGTAAAGCCATGTGAAATATTTTTATCATATACTATATGTCTACTATTTAGTTCAGTTGATGTTATAAAAATCATTGGTATATGTAAAGTACCTATTGAATACAGCAGTTTTCTTGTAAAATTTTGTGGTAAGTTTGGGTTTTTTTTCTTCATGAAAATTTTTAGGAACCGTGTTTTCACACCATATAATAATCGGCGTATATCCTTAGTCTTATATATATTGTTTTCCAAAGTGATTGATTCAACACTTTCACTGTTATGCGAAATCAACCAAAGCTAATTGAGGTTGTATAGACTCTTAAACCCCTTTGTTGTTCATGTCTTCTCTGTTGCGGAAAAGGTTGCGACACACAAAAGGAATCATTTTGATCTTGAGTAATTAGACAAATTAATGTTTTAAACACCACTGCAATAATATTGGAAAATGTTTTTTTTTTAATTTACGCTCTTTTATTTCTTGATTGCAAATTTTTGGAAATACTAGATTTTTGGATAAAATGTTGATATTTTGATTGCTGGCTTGATCTACCCTATAACTTGTACACTAATTTGTCATCAATAATGTTCTTTGTCTCTATTACGCGTGTTAATAAAATCAACTAATGTTTACATGAATTGATAATTAATCTTGTAATGCTTTATTTAATTGAAAGAATTCTTGAGCATTTGATTCCAATCAACTTCAACTTTTGTATCTATGGCACCGTCGTTTTGCGCGACGATTTCGCCAACGTCAGGGTTGAAAGTTAAAACTAATTTAAGGACTCAGTGAGATAAATTGCCGAAATCTGTTTAATTTTTTTACAATGCGTCAAGTATTGCCATGGTTACCTAATGTGCTATGCTATGATTACTTACAATAATTTCAATACAAGTAAAAACATTTGGTTTGCTTTCAGATTCACAAATTTCTGCAATGGGTGAAGGGCATTTACTCAGATTTGCCAAACCACCTACCTAAGATATTTGAACCAAAACCCACAATTCGAGTGAAAGATTTGTCAGAGGTCAATATTGAGCAGTTATTGCAGGAAACTTATACAACCACTCCAATTCATACCGAAAAGAAGTTACTTGATGGCAGTGTGGTCACTGTACGTATTTGTAATTTCCCTTCACTATGAATACCACAGCAACACAATTAACCCAGATTACCCAGACTAATGAAGCAACTATTGTCTTAATTTCTAGGCCCCTAAGGTCGTCAAGTTGGAGTCAATTTACCTAACTATAATACATTTAAATTTACATCCAATTATCCAATTATATAAAGCTACAAGTTCTTACTCACTGATAGAAATAGAACGCATACTTCCCGACAGGGCGGAAGAAAGATATTTTATACCGTTGTACGCGGACACGTTTTAAAGTAAAGAATTAAATATGAGATAACTTGAGTCTGGAAAATATAACAGAGCCATCAACGGCCTGAAAAACTATAATATAAGGAGGGGATATTTGTGCACTTTTATGAGATACACCCTGGTCAATTTTCGCCGGATGTACAAAATGTTCGAAATTCAAATAAACAAGATGGCCGCCATACAAATTTCGAAGCCTTCTATCACGGAAACTATTATAGATAGGAGGTGTTGGAAGGAATGCCATAGAATGTAATAGTGGTCAACTGCCTGTGTAAAAAAAAATGAAGATGGCGAATCCAAAATGGCGGCCGAAGAAAAACTTGCTTCGATGCGGCTTAAAATTGGCCTGGGCGGGTCTTTAAAAGTCTTTAATCATAATTTGGGGTCAAAAGCTTTTTCATCATTTTTTAATATGGCTGCCATATAAGTGTTTTTTTCGTTAAAAGTAGCTGCCGGAAAGAGAATCGCTCTGTTTCAACTGAAAATTGGGCTTCTAGACTTTTAGAGCTTTTAGAGGCTTCTAGAAGTGCTAGATAATAATTTGTACTCGAAATTGGTTTTTCACCATTTTCAAATATGGCCGCCGTACAAGCGTTTGTTGGAAGTAGAAAAAAATTGTTCTGATCCCTTTGAAAATTGTCATGTGGTGATCTCTAGGAGTGCTTGATAACAATTTGTGATCAACATTAGTTTATCGCTATTTTTCAATATGGCTGCCATAGAAGTGTTTTTGGCGGCATATGAAAATATGCTCTAATTCGATTGAAAATCGGCATGTGGGATGTCTCTATGGTTGTTTAATAATAATTTGCGGTCAAAATTTATTTTTCGCCATTTTCAAAGAAACTTCCTCTAATTCAGCTGGAAATCGGCATGTGGGGGTTTCTATCGGTGTGTAATAATAATTTGCGGTCAAAATTTATTATTCGCCATTTTTCAATATGGCTGCCATACAAACTTTTTGGCGGCAGATAGTAATTTGCTCTAATTCAGCTGAAAATCGGCATGTGGGGCATCTCTTTGGCTGTTTAATAATAATTTGCGGTTAAAATTTACTTTTAATAATTTTTCAATATGGTTGCCTTACAAACTTTTTTATCGGTTGATAAAAGTTTGCTTCTAATTCTCCTAAAAATCGGCGTGTGGGGTTCTCTTTGGGTGTTTAATAATAATTTACAATCAAAATTTACTTTTTGCCATTTGCCAATATGGTCGCCAGTTCATTTTTTGAAAGTCATAAGTGCGGGGGCCGTAGTAGGCCGAGGTCTAGCGGAGGGCGAAGCCCGAAGTGTCCGCACGCCACCTTACGTAGGTAGTATATGGAGACTATTACGAGTACAAGATTTCACAATTGTTCAAAATGTAAGGCATACTTCCCGATGTAGTAGAAATAAGATGATACTTATAGCGTTGTTGTATCTCGACCATCTCTGTTAGATTCTTTTTTCTTGGAAGGTATTCTAAAAAGAGAAGTATTTAGGGAAAAATGCCAGACAATCACTCCAAATTTCTGGTCTCAAACTAGGGAATTTCCTGTACTATGAGTACCAGAGTAACGATAATTCTGAGGGCAATATCCAGAATACCCTGACCAGAACCAATTGAAAAATGTTTTTTTTTTTCATAAATTGGCTCAAATCAGGGCTCGAATCTGGAACCTCCTCATCAAGCACCCATAGTACTAACCGCTGTGCCACCGAAGAGCATAAGTACACCCCGTAATCTGAACCCGACCACGCGCCGCAGGTCAAACCCGACCCCGCTGTAGGTGGGGTACAGGGCTCGTATGTAATGTACTTACTTTGTCTTAATGCTGGCTTTGCTAGGAATAAAAAAATAGCAATGTTGACAGCCTATACGTATGTACCTATATCTCAATTAAACAAGAAATACTAATTTCAATTCAATGTTGTTTTGCAGTATAATCTCATACCAAAATCTGTGCTATCACTGAAAGTGATACAGGAGTTACCGATCATAGTGGTGCTCATGTATCAGCTATACAAACAGAATGTGCATCAGGAAGTGAGCAACTTCATCCCTCTTATAATGGAAACTATTACATTACAACCTGCACCTACACATAGGTAAGAATTTACGTTAGACACATGTATTTAATTACAACAGTGTTATTTAATTGTGTGTCTTTTATTTACCAAGTTAAACATTGACTGCTAAGACTTATTTAACATATCCCTGATCAATAAATGTTGTTGGTGTTAGTTTATCAAAAGTATAAACAAAGAATCGTAGTTCTTTGTATTGATCTGTACTCTAATGATGCTTTCCCACCGGAGAAGCAAGACGGGATAAGGCGAAGCGAGGATTGTTCAAACGATTTAAAATTTATAAAAATATGGATTTTCTGCAAATAATAGTAAAGAGACCTACATTGATTTCTTTTATAAATTTTATCAATCATAATCAGTAATTTACTCTTAATTTAAAATTATATATTTGTGGCGTACGTTATATGTAGGTACAGGTAATTCAGATTTTTTTTTCAAATGCGGTAGCACCTTCTTAACAGCATAAACGCCTTCCCCCCATAACTTTCGAGGCCCCACCTAGGATTCTTCAGCGCTCACTCACTACCGCCACCATAGTTTCCTAAAAGTGGTCCCTACCACTTTTGGGAAACTATGACTTAAAGTGTAGGAAAATTCATCTACACGAAGACAACTATAGCCTGTCCTATAGTCACTTGACATTGTAGTCCTAATTTATGTCCACCAAAATCTATTTATCACAAAATTAATTTGTTTAGGCAATTGTATTTTCACTATCTACAATAAAGTCGATACAATTGTACATATTTATACACTAGGCAAATTAGTTCACTAAGCAAATTCCAAGTTAAGCAAAGATTGGTCACATGGTTATTATTATTAACGCTAGATTATGAAGAAACTGAACAGCTTCTTATAACATCATGTTAAATCGTGTGGCGAGTATTTAAAAGAAGATTAGATATTTATTACTTTTTCTTGTACTGATTTAGGTAAAGTATTATAATCCTATTATAAGCACATAATTTTTCACCTGTCCATAATGGTTTAAAATGTTTGTGCCTTGAGTTAGAGAATCGCCTACTCGTAAAACACAGGTCTCTAATTTAGGAGTTGGGATTCGTGTGTAATTGTAAATTATGTTGTACGTCTTTAAGTATTTGTAACATTTTGTGTAACCTGCATATGTAAAGTACGAAATAAAAATATTATTATTATTACTATCCACAACGTCTGCGCGATATCGCACGGGCTTACTTTGACTATTAATGTCAATCGCGAGCTCAAGCAAGGCAATTTTTTGCTGTAAATAGGCCGGCTCGATTCATTTCTGGTCTCGCGTTGCTGGTGGAATAGCACCCTTAGATGTAGTTAACCAGTTATTGAAGATTATTATCATTGGTTATATGTAATTATACAGTATCACAAAACAGATAGTAATATTTGATTTTAGGCAATCAGCTTCCTTTAACAAGGAAGTGTTCGTTGACTTTATGGGGGCCCAGATAAAGACTCTAGCCTTCCTGGCATACATCATAAGGATATATCAGGACACCATAGCGAATCACGCCAATTTGATGGTGAAGGGTATCATCGGGCTACTCACACTATGTCCCCCTGAAGTGGCACACCTGCGAAAGGAGCTCGTGATTGCCACGCGCCATATCCTTGCCACAGATCTCAGGCTAAGTTAGTTTAATTTTTGTTCATTAATAGTTAATTTTTGTTTTGTTCCTGTTTGTATATTATATTGTTTATTATATTATATGTATGTACACAGAGAGCAAAAATACAGAGCTTACACGCTTCATGTTGATTATGTCGGGTGTTATAGTTTCTACTAACTTGCAACGGGTATAATTGGTTACATCGTTTAATGACTTTTTAATGAGTTATCTCTCTTTAAGCAATTTTAAGGACGTGAAACATAATATTTGTTGTTTTCGTGCTACTATCAAAAGGCATAAATAAAGATTATTAGTTGTATTGAATTATATTTTTTTCATTGCTGGTTTGTTTGTCTTCATACTATGGCGAAAATTGGTCCAGTAGAGACAATTTACATTTAAACTCGGTCCTTATTTAATTAACGAAAATAATAATACTAAAGACATATACACTCATATTAAAGGTACATCTGTAATAATAGGATAATTACCCTTTTCAATTGTGTTTGAAATGAATATGTCGTTGCAAGTTACGGTAGAAAACAATACCCGAAATAGCATTAAACGTAAAAATGTGTAGGTTATTGTTAATTTTGCAGATAACTATTAATTTTAAATCTTAATTAGTGGTTAATATTTCCAAATTCTTATTTCTCTGACTGAACTAAAAATAAATAAATACTTTTTCTACAAAATTAATGAAAGATGACGCCCTTAAAAAATTCAAGTTATAGAAATCCAAAGCAATTGCAGAGTTCGTACCGTACATGGAGCGTCTATTCGACGAGGACGTTCTGCTTGGCGATGGATGGACTGTGCATGAGACTTTGCGTCCGCTCGCATACTCCACCTTAGCGGACTTAGTACACCACGTCCGTCAGCATTTGCCACTCAGTGACTTGGCTATCGCCGCGCATTTGTTTTCTAAGAACGTCCATGATGAATCTTTGCCGACTAGGTGAGTGTAAATGACATTAAATTAATGTAATTATCATCATTCAATTTGTTAGTACTTGAGCATAACATTCACTTTCTAAATACTCTTTCTTTTCCCTTTGCGTACAACATTAGGAGTAGTTGTAATAATATGACAAACTGGACCTCACACAACCAATTGTAGAACACTTTTAAAATTTACAATAAAATTATTGATAATATAAAAAATATAACAAAAAACAGTTCAGTCTTTTAGAAATAAATAATATTTCAATCTCAGGATTTATGCAATATAGTGATTTCTAACAAAATGTAATTAGTACCTAGTTCATACAAAATAGTTTAAACACACAACATTCATCATCGACCCGTTTATACGTCCCTCTGCTGAGCGGCGAAGATTTAGCTCAATGTGGGTTGGAGACTTCACACATTTTCCGAGGGTTGTGTACCTTATTCGACGTACAGATTTTATCAAAATGTTTTCCTTCACCGAGAAGCTCCTGGTAAATTTCAAAGAAAGAATTTCCGAATTCGAACCCACGGCCTCTGCTTGAGAGGCGGTTGGTCAAACCATTATATGGTGGAAATTAACATTACAAGTTATTATCATACAAAATAGGTTTAAGTATAATTTGGTATAACTTGACAGGGTCCATGTGATACTGTTACTTTCTCGTAGCAACTGTATTTTATTATGATTACAATAAACGATATTCTATTCAACCCCTGTAGCATGGCTACGCATGATAGTCGCGACACGCGCGCGATAAGATTGAAATAAACGCGCGCTATTGGCTATCTAACTTAGATCTGGTTGAGACAGCCAATAGCGCGCGCTTATTCCAATTTTATCGCGCGTGTCGCGACTATCATGCGTAGCCATGCTACGGGGGCTGTTGTTTGTATAGTTTGTGACATATTTTATATCGATTGCAGCATTCAAACAATGTCGTGTAAGTTGCTCCTGAACTTAGTGGATTGTATAAGGCAGAGGTCTGAGAGCGAGGGTACGGCCGGCACCGCAGCACAGCCGCAGGGAAGGCAGTTGCTCATGCGTATATTAGAAGTATTCGTGCTCAAATTTAAGACAATTTCGAAATTGCAATTACCTGCACTTATGGCTAAATGGTAAGACTATTTAAATGCTTAATGTTTTTAACTGCCTCTGTGGCCGAACGGTTACCATGCCGGACTGCCACGCAGAGGTCCCAGGTTCGATTCCCGGGCCGGGAGAAATATTTGTATGGCCTACATTTATTTCTCTCGTGAATTTGTGGTTGTCTATGTGGTTGTCTATGTCACCCGCGACACAGGGTTTCCCTAGTGCGGGGCTATGTTGAGTGTGTGCGTTATTATTATTATTATATTATTTCTTAAAACTTCTTAGGTTTCATATAAGTCTATGTTGGAAAATTTTTATTTTTATTTTCACATTAGTTTCCTCTACCTAATTTCAGTGGCAATTTTTTTAATTTAAATATTTTAGAAAATTATCATGAGGTATTATTTAATATTTGAGAGTGGTAACCTTAAATATTATTTAATATTTCACGACGACATACTTGAATACTAAAATAATAAAAATTGCCACCGAACTTACGTAGAGAAAAGTAACCTGAAAATTACCCATTTTAATATTTTTTCATAAAGGCGTCTGTCTCCTTTTGTACATAGGTATAGTAGTTGTTATGTCTTTTCTATATCTTAATATTTGCAGTAAACAAAGTACTCCCAACGTAAATGGCAATGGTACTAATCCCAGCACGCCAACAACACCTGCACCGAGTACATCTGCAGCTGAAATAAAGTTGGAGGAAGAGAAACCAACTACAGACTTCCTTGACAGCATAGCCAAACCTGAGGAGAAGTCTAAAATAGGTTTTCTTAGTAATCAAATGAGTAATCTCAATGTAGGTGACTATAGAACATTAGTCAAGACTTTGGTGTGTGGAGTGAAAACTATTACTTGGGGCTGTGCGTCTTGTAAGGTAACTTCAATCTAAGACTGCTTTATGAATTTTTAAAAATTAATTAAATTATTTTGTACTCCGAATATACAGGATTTTAAGTGAAGTACTAACAACCTGGCGAGACTATATTATTAACATCATCAACAACAACCAAAAAATTAAACTTAAGTTTTGGTTGTACTGTCTGGTAGGTTTTAGATATGTATTTTAAGCAACTCCTCCCGCATGCTGTCATTCATAAAAATAATTTTGGTGATAGGTGCTTTCATTTGGACAGAGTTATCATCATTTAAAGCGATCTATTTGAATATTAAATAAATATACTATATTTTTTTTTGTACGAAACTAAAATCTTATGAACTATTAAAGCTCATCATCATATCAAACAACAAAAGTTGTTTATGATGTTAGTAACAGTGTTGGGAGGTTGTTAGTATTTTTCAAGTAACCCTGTATTTGTGTCAATGTCCGTGACCATGATATGTTTTATTAGAACTAGTAATGATTACGTAATAAAAAAAGTATTCCAAGAACTTTTTAGTAATAAAAATATTATTCTTTAGGCACAACCAACTACAGAAGGCACCTCCACAACTGCTATAACAGGTCAGAAGCAACTTAGTGCCAAAGAGACTTTAGTGTACATAAGACTCGTGCGATGGGGTCTTCAGTCATTGGATATTTACACGTTATGCGCGCCACGGGCCCCTGCTATGCCTCCAGCTATGCCCCATGTGAGGTCCAAAGAGGAGAAGGAGGTGCTTGAACATTTCAGCGGAGTGGTAAGTTCTAAATACCTTTATAGTATTTGGTAGCCATTGTGAACTTTCTACGAATAACTTGAACTTTCATAAACGACGGTAAACATTTCTTTTTTACAGTTTTCAATGATGAATCCACAAACTTTCCAAGAAATATTCACCGCGACGATTTCCCACATGGTGGAAAGAATAAATAAGAATATGACACTGCAAATAATTGCAAATACGTTCCTATCGAACCCTGCAACATCGCCTATATTTGCGACCGTTCTAGTCGAGTATCTTCTCAAAAGAATGGAGGAGATGGGCACTAACATCGAAAGATCCAATTTATATTTGAGGCTTTTTAAGCTCGTCTTTGGTTCTGTCAGTCTATTCCCAACCGAAAATGAGCAAATGCTGCGACCACATCTGCACAGCATCGTCAATAAGGCCATGGATTATGCCATGACTGCCAAAGAACCGTACAACTATTTTCTGTTGTTAAGAGCCTTATTCCGTTCTATTGGCGGTGGCAGCCATGATTTACTTTACCAAGAATTCTTGCCACTTCTGCCTAATCTGTTAGAGGGGCTAAATCGTCTGCAAAGCGGTCTACACAAGCAACACATGAAGGATCTTTTTGTTGAGTTGTGCTTGACTGTACCAGTCAGACTTAGCAGTTTATTACCTTATTTACCAATGTTGATGGACCCACTGGTATCGGCATTAAACGGATCGCACACCTTGATTTCCCAAGGACTTCGGACGCTCGAGCTCTGCGTGGATAATTTACAACCTGACTTCTTGTATGAACATATACAGCCAGTCAGAGCAGACCTAATGCAAGCGCTTTGGAGAACGCTACAAAACAATGAAGTCGCTAGGATCGCGTTCAGAGTTCTTGGGAAATTTGGCGGCGGCAACCGCAAAATGATGATTGAGCCACAAAGATTAGAATATCGCGAGACGGACGCGCCACCACCAGCAGTACAAGCGTATTTTCAGGATCAACCTAGGCCCTTAGATTTTGAGGTAGACAAGGTGATAGAAACAGCTTTTTCTGCACTTAAGTCTAGTACAACAGACCCATTCTACCGTCGACAATGTTGGGAAGTGTTGCGATGCTATTTGGCGGCATCTCTAAATTTGGAAGATGACAAAGCAACTCTGCAGAAGCTCTTTAATCATCCGAGTTTCGTCGAAGGCAAAATTCCTATACAAAATGGACCTTATTACAAGTGTACAAATTCCATTGTGAGAAATACACATCGGACTGCACTAACGGGAATGTTCGTTGCTGCAGCTATCAAGGAACTGCGCCATCATGTTCTTCCGACGATGGTCTCTTTAGTGAGACACTATACTTTAGTTGCTATAGCCCAAGAAGCGGGACCATTCGCTGGGTGTGGCGGTCCAAAAGAAGGACTCGACGCCCTAGTCCTAGTAGACGCTATAGCAGTAGTAATGGGGCACGAAGAGAAAGAATTATGCAAGCCTGGTCATTTGGCTTTGGTTTTGATGATAGAAACAGCTGGAACAGTACTGGGCAGCAAGGAGCGCGCGTGTCGTTTGCCCCTGATGGAATATTTAGCCGAACGAATGTCAGCACTTTGTTACGAGCGGGCATGGTACGCCAAATTAGGGGGGTGTATCGCCGTTAAGTTCATGTTCGAAAAGATGGCCCCCGAGTGGGTTTACAAACACGTATTTACATTTTTGAAAGCTGTTCTTTTTGTTATGATGGACTTGACGGGTGAGGTGTCATCAGGTGCCATCGACATGGCGACAGTCAACTTGGAGCGATTAGTTCGCGTTTGTGTCACCGGACCTGGTGGACACGGAGTAGAACCTGAGGGAGAAGTGGCTGCTGCTAAAGCCAGAGCGCTCCATGATGTTCTTCAAGAACTCGTATTGCAAGTGACCAGTCCTCATCTGCTTGTAAGACAGCAGGTAAAATATTGTACTATTATTACATTTTTCTGTGTTTTAAATTACTAAGTTTTACCTCACTTATTACAAAACTTGTACAGGCCATGAAGTCGTTAGAACTAATAGCGGAACTACAAAACAAGACTGTGACAGAGGTAATGGACCCTCACAGAGAGGTGTTAGCGGACATTATTCCGCCTAAAAAGCACTTATTACGGCATCAACCAGCTAACGCTCAGATGGGTCTCATGGACGGAACCACTTTCTGTACAACTTTGAAACCTAGACTGTTTACAATAGGTAAGTGAACAACAATATTACTATTGTTTTTTTTATATCAAATTGAGCTCAAATATCAAATAAACCGACATATTAAAAACATTGTAGATTTGAACGTCAACGAGCACAAGGTGTTCTTCCGGGAACTGCTTTCGCTATGCGAAGCGGAAGACGCAATGTTAGGCAAGCTGCCGTGCTACAAGGGTGTCAATCTGGTCCCTCTAAGAGCCTCAGCGCTGAAAGCCTTGGCCTCCTGCCATTATATACAGGAGAAACATTGTCGGGAGAAAATTTTCCAAGTTCTATACAAATCTCTCGAGAAAAATGATACAGAATTACAACAGGTAAGTTATTATACATGTTCAGTGTTAATGCTAGTTTCATACAACATCGTCGAAAATTATTCAAGAGTCAATACTACAACACAGAAGCAAACAAACTAATTAGAAATTAAAGTACATGATTATCACTAGTATCAGGTTTCTTACCACGGTATGACTTCTTTTTATTTTCCCGATATTTATTTTTTATATATTTTATCATTTAGTGAATAACCACGAAAGTCTTAAAATCTATATAATTAAAGTACATTTGTATTTCACAGGCGGGCTTCGAATGTATGCAGAAGTTCCTAGCTGGTTTCCAAATTGACATGGAAATGGTACATCCAGTGATGCGACCTCTACTGTTGACGCTGGGTGACCACCGCAACTTGAGTGTGAACGGTGCTAAGCGACTTTCGTATTTGACACAACTGTTTCCTTCGACATTTAGCGAGAAGTTGTGCGAGCAGCTTCTTCAGTTGCTGAAGAAGCTACTTGATTACTCCATTCAGACGAATAGAGGTGAGTGGAAAATGATTTTCTATTTAATTTGGTTAATAATAACAATTTTATTTTCAGACAACAAAAAAGTCTCGCTTTGTTAGTAACAATGTTATTGAAAAAAAATTTAGTACAAAAAAATTAAATAAAGATAGAATCACATAGGCATAAAAAATGCCATATAAATTTTTGTTTTATTGAATCAAAATATAAGTTCGTTACGGGGATGACTATTTCATAGAGCATTGCTAACTTAGCAAAGAATAATTAGTCATAAAATAAAATAACTGATTGAAATGGGGCCTTAAACAATACCTTTTGTGATAATTTTTACTATTATACAAATAATATATTTACTTTTTAGGTGGCAACTTTTTACAAAGCGTATCGAAGAATATGGAGAATGAGCAAAAGATCATCATCTTAATCGGTATATTCCACCAAATACCAGCCGCTTCGCCGCGCTTCATAGATGTATTGTGTCGTCTCATTTTCCATACAGAAAAGTCCCTCATGATCGAAGCTGGGTCGCCGTTCAGAGAACCCCTCGTGAAGTTCCTACTCAGGTATGTAAAATTTCGACTTATCTTCATAACATCTTCACGTCGAGAAGGTTAACAGGGCTAGTGGGGCCACTAGCCTACTGTAGATTTTTTAAAATAATATCCTAGTGAAGGGACGAACAAGTCGTGCGCCTGATGATAAGCTACACGCCTGTCCGTAATAGTTGCTGTGCCACTGAGAGCTTTAAATCGCAAAGAGAGGGGCACTACCACGCGCACGTCACCCTGAGACAATTTGACAAGTGCCATGTGCCTGTAATTTCAACAGCACCCTTACCCTTCAAAACCGGAACACAGTTCCGGACTTGAATCAAACCGAATCGAATAGAACTTGGTACATCCTCATCTAGGACCCATAGTGTTAACCACTGGACCAGTGAGGTCGTCAAATGTTATGTCTGTGTGTGCAGTATCTGTTTTTGTTTGTGATGTATTCTTAAGACTAGGTATTTATGTTTAGGTTTTAAGGTTTATTTTTCCCTCGACACAGGTACCCCAAAGAAACACTCGACCTAATAATGATGGAGAACAACATCAAGGATCAACAATGGAGTCGTTTCCTAGTTTTCCTTATAAAGCACCCAGAAGCGGGAGCAGCTTACAGGGAAGCGCTTCAAACCTCAAAGAAAGCCCGACTTATGCAACTGTTGGCTGCAAACAGCGGCGGGGCAGCGGCCAACATGCCACAGGCTGACAAATCAGAAATGCAATTCCAAGCCATTCGAGTTATATCGCTACTGATCAAGTATGATGACCAGTGGCTGTCTACACAGCATGATTTGGTGGAGCTTCTAAAACGTATTTGGTGCAGTGACCAGTACCATGTAAGAAATTGTTTATAATGTTAATCTTACTAAAATGCAATACGTGTTAGCTGCTAGTAATGGTTGGTAATAAAAATCCAGTTTTTCTAAAACAAAAGCACTTAAGAGAGTGGTATGTCAGTGTTACGTGCTGGTTTTGGTTGATGATGTAATATTGTTTCAGGATATCCACAAGAAAGTGGAGAACGTGGATTGTACGCACTGGAAAGAGCCGAAGCTGATCGTGAAAGTTTTGTTGCACTATTTCTGCCACCACCCGTCTAACATCGATTTGCTTTTCCAGCTGCTGCGAGCCTTGTGTGACCGGTTTATACCAGATTTCCAGGTACAAATCTTTGGTCATTCTGCTATCTATTCAGTTAATGTAAGGCTGTTTCTTGCCACTTCTATTTCTGCCTGATTTGAAAGGTCTGAGGGGCACTGGCACCGCCCCGTCACTCTGAGACATAATTAATAATATTGTAATAATTTCGAACCTTAGTTCAAATTAAAGTAAGGCAGTTAACTAATATAATATAAACTAACACACCATTTTTTTTCAACTGCCTCCATGGTCGAACGGTTACTATGCTGGTCTGTCATGCAGAGGTCTGGGGTCTGGAGATATATTTGTATGGCTACATTTATTTCTCTCGTGCGTTTGGGTGTAATTTGTGGTTGTTTGTTTGTGTGTCCATGGCACCTGCGATACAGGGTGTCCCACTAGTGCGGGGCTATGAGTGTGTAAAATAAAATTAAAAAAAAAATTTTTTTCTTTACACAGTTCCTCCGTGATTTCCTAGAGAACACGGTAGCACAAAACTACACGGTGGAATGGAAACGGTCAGCATTCTTCCGTTTTGTGGAACATTTCTCAAGCGATTCAATGTCCCAGGACCTTAAAGCTAAAGTTCTTCAAATGATACTAATACCGTGTTTCGCGGTTAGCTTTGAGAAGGGACAGAAGATTGTAGGAGGACCACCGGCGCCATACCAGGACAACCCGGACAATGTTGTGTCTGTGTTTATAAATAACGTAAGTAACAGTTAACTGTTGTCAGTGATTTTTATAAACTTTTCAGAATATGGAGAATAACTTGATAATGTTAAGAGCAGTATTGGTTTTTAATATAATGCAATGGAATAATTTGATTTACATTTGTACGAGACATTTTTTGCCGTTCTCTTTGGTGTACAAGATAAGATTCTATGCTGTTTACAGGTAATAGATCCAGAAAATCCTTTCGCGTGTTCCGACGCAGTTCGCATATCGCTTCTCCAATTTGCTTGTCTGCTACTGGAGCAGGCGTCTGCGCATATCCATGATGCCAACAATAAGAAGCAAGGCAATAAGCTAAGGAGACTTATGACTTTCGCCTGGCCTTGTCTACTGGGAAAGAACTACGTCGACCCCGCGACTAGGTACAACATATATATGAAATAAAATGCTGTTTTCTGAAATTTGTTAGTAAAATGTGTACAAAAAATGTTAATTGATTTTTTATTTACAGATACCACGGTCATTTGTTATTGAGTCACATTATTGCCAAGTTCGCTATTCACAAGCGGATTGTTTTGCAAGGTAAATTAATTTGTTAATCATTGTGATGATGACTGAGCTTTTATAAGTCGTTTGTTTACATAAACCATTGTTACAGTGTTCCACAGTCTTCTAAAAGCGCACGCTGTTGAGGCGCGGTCAGTAGTTCGCCAAGCGCTCGAAATACTGACTCCGGCGATGCCGCAGCGTATGGAGGACGGGAACACGATGCTTACGCACTGGACAAAGAAGATCATCGTCGAAGACGGACACTCTGTGCAACAGCTCTTCCACATATTGCAGCTTGTTGTTAGACACTATAAGGTAGGAGTGCATTTTGGATATCAAAGGTACAAAAGAAAGTGTAGGCCAAATTACTGTTCTTATGTGAAGAAATTGTTTTTTTGGTCTCAAGTAAACTCATTTTATTAACTTTATTTTAGTTTATTTTATTTAGTACACAACTGTGATAGTGATATTATCGTGAACCAAAATTTCTTTATAATTTTATCATAATTTAGGTGTACTACCCCGTGCGGCACGCTCTAGTGGGGCACATGGTGGCTGCAATGCAACGTCTTGGATTCTCCGCCACTGCGTCATTAGAACACAGACGACTGGCCGTCGACCTGGCTGAAGTGGCTCTTAAATGGGAGCTGCAGAGGATACGGGACCACACACATGATGATAACGTGGTAAGATTTAATATAAAAATAACATGGTTTTTGTCCCGTTCATAATTTATTGTGAAAACAAACAACTCGATGACTCTTGTATTTGAACATTTTTATCTCTATTTATTCTTTATAGTCTGTCGTTTTTGAAGGCGGAGTAAAATGACATTTGCAGGATTGCCGGTTTTCATAAAATTTTATATAGTTATGTAGTTATTGTTGACAGTTTTATCTGATAGATTGAGGAAGAAAAGAAAATTTTACCAAAAATATCTGAATTGTGAATGTTGCGACGTTCTGATGATTACTATTGCGTTATTACCTTATCTTTATTCTTATTTTGACAGTTGGCCTACTAATATCGATTTAAATTTTTATTCCTATACATTTTAATAAGAACAGGCGGATTTGATTGTATATATTGAATTATAATGAAATACTTTAAAATGTGTCTCCTCTTTGTATTTTTCATTGACAGTTCTAAATGCAGTGTATGTATGAACTTAACAAATTGACAATTCTAATGAATTTGTGCCCAGCAGTTAGGCGAATAATGGGCCGACGATGAATCAAATGATACAAATTCAGGTATTTATTGCATAAGCGTGACCAACATTCAATCGATAGTCCATATAAAGTTTATCGACTGCCACACTAGCTGCTTGCAAGCGGGAAGCACTTTTGCACAATGAACTGTCATTTTACTCCATATCCAAAAAAAGATAGAGTATAATATAATAACTACTATTACTATGTACTTAATAACGCAGAGCGTTGGCCGTACGTTGTAATATGTTGTCACGCAGGTTTGCGCGTTGTGAGGGTAATGTCAAAGCCACCCTTTTCAGGGCGTTTTGTCAGACCTTCTATATGTGCAGCCTGTGGACAAATTACACTAAAGCGACGGTCAATGCCCTGCGTGTCCAATACAATAATGGTCTTAGGATGCTATTGGGGCTGCCACGATTTTGCAGCGCATCAGGTATGTTCGCGGACGCGCGAATTGATAGCTTCAGCGCGATTATTCGGAAAAGAACTGCCTCCCTGATGCGTCGCGTGCGTGGCAGTTCCAATAGCCTAGTTCGTTTGATCTGAGAGAACCCTGTTAGTGAATTGTGGAAGCACTGGAACTCAGTCCACATGGGTTCCAGGAGTTTAATTTATAAGTTATTGTAATATTTTGCAAATTTAGTACTAACATAGGTTGTAAGAATTTTTTTTTGTAACTAACACTAATATGGACTATATCTGAAATAAACTTTTTGAATTTGAATTTTGAATTTTTTAATTCGCAAGGTGGCAACATCGCCAAGTGGAGCAATGAAGCGTGGATCGACAGACGACGTAAGTGAAGCTCGCAAAGCGCTGAACACAGGATGGGCGAGCCCACAAGCTAGCGTATCGAGAATGGAACCCGACGCGGCAAAGCCCCTTGACCGACAACACGTCGACGTAGTCGTCAATCTGCTGTTGCGACTAGCTTGCCAGGTAGCTTGTACATTGCGACAATTTACTTAGAAAACAGTACAGAATAAAAAGAAATACATTTCCTTCTGTCTTCTAGGTGATATCATGTGGTTCGTTTTTCAGAAACAAAAATTTAAATGTAAAATTTTAAATCGCAGCTTGCTTTCCGTGGTTCTGGTTAACGCAGCTTTTGGTCATAGTCGACAGCAGTGGGATATAACTAGCTTATATGCGCAGGTGAATGAGGGCAGTGTCGCTGCGGGCGGTGCGGCTACCGGATCTCCCGGTGAGCAGTTGTCACGGCGTTGCGTGCTGTTGCTCAAGGCGGCGCTCAAACCTGATGTATGGCCGCACCTCTGCGAGCCTAAACTTGCTTGGTTGGACAAAGTTAGTATAATCTTCTTGTGGCTATAAACAATCACCGTAAAAATATTACAACAACGTACCACGTCACAGGATCACAAGGCGTGCAAACGCAAAATCGCTGATTATATTTTTTTATATATATTCTTGGAGTATTGTTTCGTTTTTACTATGTTATTGTTAATACATTTGTGTTTTCCTTAAGCTTTTTGTTTTATAATTTTGTATTATTTTATAGATTCTTAATTGAAATCTTTCCCGCAGGTATTTGCGACAGCAGACACGAACGCTGCAGCGTGTGCTAACGCTTGCACTGCTTTAGAACTATTAGTATTCCTTTTAGGAGTACTACGCCGTGAACAGATTCTAGCTGCATTGAAACCACTGCAAAGAGGACTGGCGGTCTGCGTTTCCTCTACCAACGCGAAAATCGTACGATTAACACATAATCTTCTGGCGAAATTAACGTCCCTCTTCCCAACAGAGCCGACTGGCGCTGCACAATCGTCAAAGGTATGGAGAGGAATATTGTTCATTAATGAAATTTGATTTGTAGACATTCTCTATAAACTTCACACAAAGCGCTACAGTTTTGTACTATCTAAAACAATTTTTTTCTTACAGTATGAAGAACTAGAAACTCTCTACGCTTGTGTGAGCAAATATGCCTTCGAAGGCCTTGCTACTTATGAAAAGTCGGCTCCAGGAGGCGGTGCAGGAGCCCTACTCGGGCCACTAATGATGTTAAAAGCCTGCTGCACGTCGAACCAGGGATATATTGATCGCTTGCTACTGCCACTGATGAGAGTGCTCCATCGAATGGTGAAGGACCACGTTGCAGCCTCCACTCCTGATGGCGCTACTTCTGATTTACTGGTAAGTTTTGACAAAAAAATACTAGCTGTACACAAACCAATCAACTTGCTACATATCGAGTAACAATGAGCCAATTTCTTTCGGTATTATTTTATTCATGTATAAGTTCAATGAGCCCTAACCGCTATATGGGGTGGAGGCGGAAACAGCCTGGGGCCTGGAGGCGTTTGAGCACGCTCCAGGCTTTGCCTCTCGCTGAAACTCTGTTTACGTTACTCACAAATACCGCATGGCCCCGCTAATAAATATTGCCAAGAGAGAGTAAGCGTCGTATTCCAGAACTCTACTCAATGCTCAAGTCAGGATTTGAGCAGACTTGAGTATGCTTTCAAGCACTGGAAATACGACCCTAATGGCAAGGACTTGAGTATGATTTTCAGTGCTCACTGCATTACTTAAGTCCTGACTTGAGTATTGAGTAGAGTTCTGGAATACGACCCTAAGTGACGATGGAGTTTGGAAATATCCTATTATGACAAAAAATCTAGGAATACCCGATTTCTACAAATCGGAATTTTTGCAGGCCATTAATAATTGCCAGAGTCGAACGTAGACATTTCCTAGATATTTTTAAGAGATATATGTGAAGCTGTACCCCGGAAACCACAAATAATTGTTATGTGTATTTATTGGACAACACTTTCGGAACATTGATTACAAAATATCGAACATTCCATAGACCTTCAGCGTTTTACCCCGTACGTACGTACATACGACTTTGTTTTCTTCCATAAAGTAATGTGTATGAGGTACAGAATATGCAGGAATGTGTATGATGATAACGGACAACTTACTACTTACAAGTCAAGGAGGCATAACGTTAATAACAATAGCGACGACCAGCTACGAGTGCACAAGAGATAATTATTACGAAATATTTTTGCAAACTGTTGTAAATATAAATATGATATATATGTGTATTAAAAACTAGTAATCCAAATATTTAAAATGTCATTTATTTACACTGAAAATGCAGGTCTGACTGTAGTAAGAAAAAAACAAAATAAAGGAGAATCCATACTCTCGTATGCTTACTACACTGGCTTATACTCGTCGCCCTCTTCAGGATCTTGAGTGTATAGAGGCTCTTAAACTTATTTATTTACATTGCGTAACTTGACTGCCAAGAATCCTTTATTTTCTTCATCTCATCACGAAAATCTTAATTAAAGTAATATTTATGCTCCGTGGCTGCCGGCAGTGTCTGAAAATTAATGAAATATCTAATATTTTAATGGCGGGCGGTGTTTATTTGAATTTCGAGCATTGTTCATTTAAGGATGATTTTAGGTAAAAATTACTAGGTGCACCTTATAAACGCGTACAGTGACGTAGCCGATCACAGTTTAAAATTTTTAATACTCAGATTATCTCTTTATCTCTGTACTTATACGTAAGATGTTGCTACTATTATAAGAACGTTTATTTTTATAGATCCTCGCACTAGATCTGCTGAAAGGACGGGTCTCCGTGATGCCGGTAGACACAAGGAAGACGTTCATAGGTACAGTCCTAGTGGGACTTATTGAAAAGACTACTGAAGCTAAGGTCAGTTTGGTATTGATATTGGTGGCTGATTCGATTAATTCCACGTCCATAAAAATGAATTCAATTCTTATATGGACGGAGATTTTATTGAATACCTACTTACTATTTTACACTTATTTTGAAATGTCTTCGGGTACTGTTACTAATTCAACTGACATTTTGAAATTATCGCCAGGTCATGAAAGCAATTACTCGTATGGTGGAAGAATGGGTGAAAAATCGTAACGGGAACGTAGCACTGGCGACCGCGCCCTCCCTCCGCGAGAAATCTATATTGCTTGTCAAACTTATGCAGTACGTGGAGAAACGGTTCCCTGACGACTTGGAACTAAACGCGCATTTCCTCGACATCATCAACTTTGTGTACAGGTAAACATAACCACTATTTTTTATTATACAATTATAATATAATTATACAAAATAATAAAGTTATTGAAGGTGTTATTTAAATATGTACGAGTGAATAATATGTAAATTTGTAGAGTTAATAAGATATGAAACAGGATATGGAATTCAACTGTATATAATTTGATAAAGGGCTGGTAGAAAGTTGATTGTTTTTATAGAAAGATGTTTATTTACGATTACGCAGGCAGTGATACTAAATAGTCTAAGCTACGCTATTATATTTAGACTTATACTACTTTCCCTTTCCATGTGGCTTCTATAACAGAGACGAAAACTTGAAAATGTCAGAGCTCTCAATGAAACTGGAGCCTGCGTTTTTAGCCGGTTTGCGTTGTCCCCAACCGCACATTCGAGCTAAGTTCTTCGAAGTCTACGACCAGAGCGTTCGCCGACGAATCTTTGATCGTCTACTCTACGTCATCTGCTCACAAAACTGGGAACATATTGGACAACACTTCTGGATCAAACAGTGCCTTGAATTGTTGCTTGTTACCTGTGTATCGAGTAAGTATTATGGTATTATTTTTTTATTACTTTACCACTTTTAAGTGCGAATTGCACTACAAACAGTTTTTTTTCGCATGAATGTAATTAAGAGAGCGGTGATTAATTTTATGAGACTAGTCGTTTTATAAAATTGTCATCTATATACAACTTTTTTCCTACTACAGGTACCCAAATCCGTCTATCAAACACAAAGTATCTTCTACCGAATATATCTGCTGTCATCAACTGGGCGGATAGTGAAGAACGCAAATCCTTCGTGATATTCAGCAGCGTGAAAGAAGAGTCGAGCGATGGCTTCAGCGACTCCCTAGAGACTGATAAAGAAGACGTCCTTGACATGGATTTAGATTCGAGCTCCAATCAAAAAGAGGACGTTACAAAGAACGTGCCAGATAGGTAAGCGATTCCCATGAATTGTTAAATATACAGGTGATTAAAAAAAAATTAAGTGCGTCTATAATTAGACGCTTATAGAAGCACTGCAGTTGCAATGTTTATACATTATTTAGAAGTCGTGATACGCGTGCGTCACTTTTGCAGTCATAATTAGGGAACTAAAAAAATACTGAAGCGCTACTGTCGGGCTACTGCAGCGCTCCTACGAGCGTCTAATTTGCAGACTAATAATAAAAATTAAAAATATATCTATTTATAATATATTATATAATATTTAATTTATCATATAATATAATATAATATATTCTTTTACAATATTGTAAATTATATTTGTATTAATTGTAATTTCTTAGTTGTAGCCTTACGTAAATAAATGTTTTGTTTGTTTACAATTTAACCTAACATTTTATACTACAAAGGTTTAATGAAGTATTTTTTTTATTATTATATATTTATTTGCATTCAGGTAACAAAGACCCATAAATACATACCTTATAGACTAACATACATAATAATACAATAAAAATACTACTGACTAATTATTATTTACACGTATTGTCCGCGACATATGACGCAACGTGGGTGTCCGATAGCCGGCCTTGGAAACGTCGGTACATGAGCCCTTTCAGCCAAAACTCAACTTTCATGAAGATCTACAGATGTTGGGTTGGTACTCTCAGCACAAATGAATTAAAATTTACATAGTGGCGGGACACCAACTGCTCGACCCTCAAGGTAGCATTGGTTTTCACCCGTATATACTCCACAATATCGGCAGACTTTGTGGAGTAATGGAAGCCGTGACACTTGTAACAACGTCGTCGTATCGCTGGACGCTGTAAATGATTAGGGCCAGACGGGGCGGTGCCACTAAGGTTACGGCTGGTGTACTTCTTCCTTTCCACCTTTTTCAAAAACCGTCCTCGTAGCACTGTTCAACTCTTCTCGGTGGTACTGATGATACATCTCCAGAGATGAGTGTTCCATTCATTTTCTTCCCCTTTTTGGTAACTGTCTGGGTTGTGGTTGTGGAGCACTGAATCGGTTAGCAGCGGCAACAGAGCGTAGTCACGTTGAGGGGTCCAACATATTTACGCGTGACCTCTCCGCCGGGGCGGAAGAACAAAGGGCGGGGAGCTGGGAAACGCACGTGGTGACAGAGGTCGGCGACGTGTGGGCCGACTCAAAACTGCCGATAGATGTGTTTTGCGCCCCGCGACAAGTATTCACGTTACAGGCCTCGGGTGACCTGCTTACCGAAGCCGCACTACTCAGTAACGCAATTTGAGCACGCAACTAACTGATGGTATTGTCCGAGGCCTCCAATTTACAGCGAACTTCAGCAAGGTTCGCTTTTAGGGACGTGATGTCCCTCAGCAGCCTGGTGACGTCGACGTGGTCGAACGTGACCGGGGGCAGCTTGTGCAGCTGCTTCACCACGAAAGCAGGCACATTTTCTGGGTCGGTCTCCTTTATCAACGTGATGGTGTCCTGGAGACTCATCGCTCCTCCATCCCTCCGGCGAAGTGGCATCTGCTCAGCCTTGCCAAGCATACGGAAAAGCAGCGCCTTGCCACTGCAAATCTCCTCTTCCTTGAAATTTGATTTGCAGACCTGCACGATGCTGATCTCGTCCATAGCGTCGACGGCGTGTTGGATGAACGCCAGCAGTTCATTGGTTATGAGTTGCTGGGAACCCATTGTCATTTACGCGCAGCGGCTATTGCCGCGCGGGTCGCGAATTATTATAATTCTTATTGTGTAGTGGAGCACGTCCGAATCCGACCGTGCACCGCACCGCACTGTTCACACGCACACTTTATGAGGCATTACCTGGCTACTTATTGTAAAATTATAATTAAATTTTTGTAAATGGTTCCAAATATATTATGGTTATATTTTCAGGTGATAGACAACATTTCGAACTACCTAATTAAAATAGTACTAAATATATAAAATAAATATTGAAATAAAAATGTTTAATAACACGTATCACAACTTTCTTACGATAAACAACCTAAAATCCAGTCTTTAAAAAGATGACTGCTCATAACATGCGACCAAATTAACACTGACAGCCATTGACTTACAATTATATGGACGTCGGGTCCGAACTTATAGGGCGTTAAAATCGTATACTGAGCGTCACGCTTTAGTCTTCGTTTGTTCGACTGACAGCGAAGCAAGCAAAATTAGACAGTACTGCGATGACATTACAATTTAAATTCAACGTTTTAGCTTTTTCATATTCCTTTACATGTCACTACGTTTAAATAGGTTGACTTGGGACATTTTTTTCGTGATTTTTGTATTAGACCCGTCGTCCATTTATTTGTAAGTCAATGGTGACAGTTGGAGTTTGTTTACTTTTAGTTAATTACTTATACCTTTATACTATACTAGCAGTTGTAGTGCAAACTTGAAAATATCACTACTAACCGTACAAACCGATTGACTCTTACTCTTTTGTTCTATCCTTATCCAATATAATAGATTTAATTTAGTTTAATTGCATAGGGTTCCGGATTTTATTCTTCTTATAACTACTATTTAAAAAAAAAACACTTTTTTGACCAATGTGTTCTTTTAGTTATTCTTTTTCACTAAAAAAAATTGAGTGTTTTTTATCAATATTTCGCTCTTGTTTGTACAAAGGTGCTTCTACACTGGCTTTTAACCGTTCATATACACTTTTAAAATACATATTATCCACCTTGTTGCTGTCTAATGTTTATACTGACGTTCATTAGTATTTACAAATGTTAGTGTACTCCGGAGTAGAAGCTCCTTAAAAGAGTTCAGTAATTCAGAAGCCTTAAAATTTTAATTTTATCTAATCGCAGGCAACGCTCCATCAATAACATAATAGCAAAGCAGTCTGATTTCCTCGATCTCGCGCGTCGCGTGCGCACAGAGCAGTTAGTGGTCGCGACCGCGCAACTCTGCCACATGGACGATGCGTTAGCCCATCACACCTGGCTGCGAATGTTCCCTAAACTGTGGTCTACCATGGATGATCGCCAACTTGGAGTAAGTTTACTATGTAGTTGAACATACTCGTAAATACAAAAGAATAATGAACTCTAACATTGATTACCAACTTGAGAATCGTGGACGTGTACATAAACCCGTCACGTCGGTTACTACCAAGTTTCGAAATGCAGCGGCATATATTGGTGATGTTAAAATGCCTTGCAACTCTAGTTTTCATTATAATATATTTTTGATAATAATAAGTTGCAAGAACCCTAACGGGTGTTATATGTTGCATGGAATAATATATTCTTACTACCTGTATTACTTTTCGGGCAATCCGTGAACACACTTTTCGAGATGATGGATACGCGCGGTGGTTACCCCAGTGCTAGGAGAATGGTTGCGTCTCGATGAGACGTTGACGGTTCGAATCTCGGTGGCGTCTTGTACCAATGACTTTAATTTTGTTGAATACATTGGTGAATGTTTATGAGCAATACTTCTCGCTAACGGTGAAGGTAAACTTCCCACCCCTCATTGGGTCAGCTTTTTGGACTAAGGTCCGCAAACACACCATCTTCTTACAGGATGATGATGAGGTAAAACATCCGTGTTTTTTTTCCAGTCAATTGTGACCGAAATAGTTCCGTTCATAATATCTGGTGTCCACGTAATTCAACGGGACCAACCGCTAAGCGCTATGAACACATTTATCGAGGCTCTCGCGAGATGTACCCCTCCCGTGGCTATGAAACCGTAAGTATCTCTACAAGTAGTCATCGACATTTTGTTTCATTCGCTGTTACGTAACGTTTGTATTTTCACAGACCAATGATGAAATACCTTGGTAAAACTCATAATCTATGGCACCGCATGACCCTGAACTTGGAACAAATGGCCATAGATCAAGCAAGTGGTCGTCCCCCACGGGAGGTTCTCGAGATCTACGACTACGATACTGAGACTACCACACCATCGGTAAGGACTGTACTGTGTAAGGACGGTCGGTATTTTAATAATAATAGTAAATCTTTTGTTAAAAGCGATGCCACACGATACGTTGCGACGACTGAGTGGTGTTGCTGCGTTGTACCATTTATGAACGCTTGTGCATCGGGTAAGGGGCCAGGAGACGAAGCGAGTGCTGCGATGTGTAAGTAAGCGACGTCGCCACCGCTTTGCGCGTCTGGTACTCGTTGCGTTAAAATCATAGCGATGCGACGACGCAACGCACCGACAACGCCGTGTGGCATTGCTCTAAGATGTCTTGGGCGCACTTCTTATTAATATGAAAAAAAAAAACTATTGTTAGTAGATACGTAATAGAAGTATTTAATAACTAAAATACAAATATTCGATTCTAGACTCTAGTCGAGATTCGATAATGACTCATCACCTCACCAACACCGGGATAAAATGATTAAATAAAATTAACATTGTAATAGCGCCCAAAAGGTTTATTTTAACTTAATCATGGAATTCAATTTGTCAACTTATAATACTATTGAGTTAGATTAACTCATACACTAAACTAATAAATAACTAAGAAAGTGCATGGAATATGCCAAATGGTACTTTAGCCGCGGACCGACATATACTTCTGTATATTTATAGGAGGTGCTGGACTCCCTAAGTGACATGTATGAATTGCTACAAGAAGAAGACATGTGGTCGGGATTATGGCAGAAGCACGCGCGATACCGGGAGACCAACGTCGCCATTGCGTATGAACAACAAGGCTTCTTCGAACAATCCCAGGCCGCTTACGACGTGGCAATGTCTAAACTTAAACAAGAGTACTCAGCTAACCCAAGCTCTTACAACATGCACAAAGAATGTACATTGTGGACCAATCATTGGATCAAATGCGCGAAGGAACTGAATCAGTGGGACTCCCTCCTTGATCTGGGTCTTACCAGGAATGTTCGGGATCCTTTTCTGATATTAGAGAGCTCGTGGAGGAACCCTAACTGGCCGACCATGAAAGACGCTCTCGTTGAAGTGGAGTACAACTGTCCCAAAGAATTGGGTAAGAGGCTTTGGTGTTCATCACATTTATTATCTTAGCATGAAAAATCATTGTTGCTTTTGTCATTGCCGATTTCGGTTATTAAATCTGTATGTATTTATAATTATTAAACAAAAATGGATCACTTAGAAAAATATCACTTCGGTCCAATTTAAAATTAACATTTAAGCAACAAACTTTTCAGTAACCAGAAACAAGTCACAGCAATGAGCAATCAAAAAACATTTGTATTGAAGTACTGCCTTGTTTTCCACTAGCATGGTTGGTGAATCTGTACCGCGGGTACCTGTGCATCTGCGCCGGCGGCGATCAGCAGCTGTCGGGCGTAGAACGGCACGCGGAAGCAGCGGCGGCACAATGCCTGCGTGAGTGGCGCCGCCTACCGCGCGTCGTCAGCCATGCTCATTTACCGCTGCTGCGAGCTGCCCAGCAGCTCATGGAGCTCAGCGAAGCCGCGCAGATTCACACTGTCCGTATATTTATTTTTCCCTTTACTGGAAGTTATTCGCCTGATGCAAATGCCTAAGGACTTGTGATAATTTTCTTTCAGGGCCTTCTCCACAGTCGGCCAACCTCTCTTCATGACATGAAGGCAATAGTAAAAACATGGCGCAATAGACTACCCGTGGTCGCTGACCCGTTGTCACACTGGGGCGCGATATTCACGTGGCGACAGCATCATTATCAATTCATTGCGTCGCATTACGACTCGCAGACGGAGCACGCCGCCAACCACAGCATGCTAGGCGTCCACGCGAGCGCTCAAGCCATCATACATTTCGCGAAGATTGCTCGAAAACACAATCTGTCAGGTGTTTGCCTAGATTCTCTGCACCGTATTTACACTATCCCGAGCGTACCAATTGTGGACTGCTTTCAAAAGATCCGACAGCAAGTCAAATGTCACATCCAAATGTCGTGGACGGAGGGGAAAGATGAACTTCAGGAAGGTCTGGACATGATAGAATCGACCAACTTTAAATATTTCACGAAGGAGATGACGGCCGAATTTTACGCATTCAAAGGACTGCTTTTGGCTCAACTGGGTCGATCTGAAGACGCTAACAAGGCTTTCGCGGCAGCAGTCCAGCTCCATGACACGCTGGTAAAGGCATGGGCTCTTTGGGGCGATTACTTGGAGCAAATTTTCATAAGGGACCCTCGTCAGATTACCGTTGGGGTCTCTGCAATGACTTGCTTCTTGCACGCGTGTCGTCATCAGAATGAGTCCAAATCGAGGAAATATTGTGCAAAGGTACGTTTTATTTAGAAATAGATTAGATACATAACAGTTGGTTTAACAATGGTATGAATAACATTGAAGTGCATCTTCCAGGTTTTGTGGATGCTAAGTTTCGACGATGAGAAGAACAGTCTAGCTGAGGCACTGGACAAATACTCAGTGGGTGTTCCTCCCGTCCAATGGCTGCCATGGATTCCACAGCTCCTCTCTTGCCTGGTGCAGTATGACGGAACCGTTATTCTGAATCTGCTCAGCCATGTAAGAGTTACCTTTATAAAAATAATTAAAAAGTTTCTTTATATAGAAAATAATCTGATAATCGTACATATCTTACGGAAATTATGTGCATTACATAAGATATTTGTTTAGGTTGGCCGTCTTTACCCACAAGCGGTCTACTTCCCTATCCGCACTCTATACCTGACGTTGAAGATAGAGCAACGCGAACGTCACAAAAGCGCCGAGAACACGACCGGACACGTATCACATCAAGCCACCGCCGCTGCTGTAAGTGTTGATGGGAATTGACGTCTTCGTAAACAGTGCTTGCACAAAGCACTTTCTGAAACACACGTAATGTTATTTATTTATTTGTAGAGCACAAGCAAGGCGAGTGAGAGCGCATCTTCGACGAGCGGCGGCTCCACGGCCAGCGAGGCAGGCACCATCAAAGCTACGTTGCCCATGTGGCGCTGCTCGAAGATAATGCAGCTGCAGAGGGAAATACACCCTACTGTGCTCTCGTCTCTCGAGGGCATCGTCGACCAGGTTCATTAGTGTTCTATATGTTAAAAAAAGACACGCTTGTCAATAACACTTAACTTTCGTCAGTATGGCGTAGAAAAAAATTAAACGATGGTGTCGTTTTCTTAGATGGTATGGTTCCGAGAAAACTGGTACGAGGAGGTGCTGCGGCAGCTACGCGCTGGGTTGGCCAAATGCCACGTGGTGGCATTCCACCATCGCGTCGCCGTCGCCGACGCCACCGTAACTCCACACACGCTCAACTTCATCAAAAAGGTCGTCTCCACCTTTGGAATCGGCATTGGCATCAGTAAGTCTTATATCATCCTCGCCATTATTATTCCACACAAAGTATATTGAATTCATTTCCACAAAACGTACATAGCAGTACAGAAACAATAGTCCCTTCATTTGTTATCGTTAAGTACACTATTTTTTCATTACACTGACATCATTACTGTGCGTTTCTAATCGTTTTTATTTCTTACAGGCTCGGGTATGATGATAAAGTCTAGTAACTTAATTTCTATCTTTCTCGGAGTTAAGACTCAAAGCTTTTCCAGCATATACGAGCGACATTTTATAAGAGGACCCCATTTTGTATGTCTACAGAAGTTGTTTCAAGTTCTGTAAGTGGTGCATTCTCTTCAGCTGCATCAGAGAGCCTCGCACGGCGCGCACAGGCCACGGTGCAGGACCCCGTCTTTCAGAAGATGAAAACCCAGTTCACCGCTGATTTCGACTTCACGCAGCCTAATGCCATGAAGCTGCAGAATCTCATACAAAAGTTGAGGAAGTGGGTCAAAATACTAGAGGCCAAAACCAAAGTGCTGCCCAAGTAAGTAGTCATCACGTATAGTGCCACCCCAAACAAGGTTACGATCAAAGTAAGTCCATTGTGATGTCTTGCTTTATGTCCACCCACTTCGTAGTTGTAGATGACTTCACTCACACTTTACTCATCGCCATCTTTGTTCATTTACTCACGTCGTCTTTTCACATACGTCAAAATTTCACTTGTAATGGTTTTTATCTCATACGTACGCTGTTTAGTTACAATTGTGCATCTTCTTTCAGATCTTTCCTCATTGAAGAAAAATGTCGGTTCTTATCGAACTTCAGCCTAAAAACAGCTGAAGTCGAGTTGCCGGGCGAGTTTTTGCTTCCTAAACACACACATTACCACGTTCGTATAGCACGGTTCATGCCTCGCGTTGAAATTGTACAAAAACACAACACGTCTGCTCGTAGGCTCTATATACGGGGCCACAACGGAAAGATATATCCCTACCTGGTTGTGAATGATTCGGGATTAGGCGACGCAAGGCGCGAAGAACGAGTGCTGCAACTTTTGAGAATGTTGAACCACTACTTGGGAAAGCAGAAGGAGACGTCGAGGAGGTTCCTACACTTCACAGTCCCGCGTGTTGTGTCCGTGTCTCCACAGATGCGTCTCGTTGAAGATAACCCCAGTTCCATATCTTTGTTGGACATCTATCGCACCGAATGCGCAAACAGGTAAATAATAGATAAAATAATTTTATACTTTAAAGATACTTATTACTTGATATTTACAAATATTTGATCTATGTTTAGGGGTGTTGAATACGACGCTCCCGTGGCGCGGTACTACGAACGGCTTGCGGCAGTTCAGGCAAGGGGATCACAAGCCTCTCATCAGGTTCTTAGAGACATCCTTCGTGAGGTACACATTCATGTTTCTTTTATTTTGTTCCTTGATAATATTATGGCTAATCCTCTTTTTGATGGAATTACGTCCAACGTGTTTGTTTATTATGGAATAAGAAAACTCATTTAATTCAGTACTTACTCTCAAAGTTTCTCGCGCCTGACGTCTACTAGATAATCCTTAGCAAAATCGCGGGGAAGACGCATACAAGCGCTACAGAGCTGCTCAATGTAGCGATCCTATAGAAATAGGAAAGGTGTTCAGCAGTCGACCGACTGTTGTATAGGCGCCTGCGGTTGGAAAATAAGTCGGACCTTTGTAAGTCAATGAAATGACTTTTCCCACAAAGGTGCAAGCGACAATGGTGCCAAAAGGCATGGTACGCGAATGGGCGGCGGCGACATTCGCTGCGCCCACTGACTACTGGACGTTCCGCAAAATGCTGACTCTACAACTGGCGCTGGCCAGCTTCGCGGAGTACGTGCTACATCTCACGCGCCTCAACCCCGACATGATGTACGTCCATCAGGACTCTGGACTCCTCAACGTCTCGTACTTTAAGTTCGACGTCGATGACACTACAGGTACAACTTTAAATTTGTTAACAATTCGCGGACAGAGTTCTTTAACACATGTAGGTGCTTTAGTTATGATTGGGAATGTTTGTGGATTATATTTCCTAAAAGATTTTTTAACCGACTAACAGGTATGCAATATGTTTTTTGCTTTACCTTTGATTTTAATACTTAGTGTTGAATTTTCGCGTGTTGCAATTAAAATATTTTGAGCGTGTTTTTTCTTTTTGCTGCAATATGGCGTTTAATCTTTGGCATGTTATCTCGTGTGATTGATCTGTGCCTATTACTCTCTATAGTTAAATAATTTATTATATATTATAATTTATTATATATAATTAATTGTAGGTACATATTTAAGAGACTACATGGTAACGAATAACTGTTGGAAAGTCACATTCATATTCATGATTATACACAATAATCAATTGTTTTTCATCGCACTTGCTCGTAAACAGTGTCAAGACATGCAGGCAAAGTCGACCGTAATGTCCTAAATTATGCCCAAAAAACTAAACATTTTCAATTTAGCTGTTGTATATTTTACTAAATTTATTTTGGAATTTAAATTCTGCAGTATTTTTAGAATTTAGAAATTATTTATCGAGTTCTTAGGTTTTCGCGATTGTTACACATAGGAAATGAAACTATTTTTCCGACTTTAACCGACATTTCGGGCCCTTTACAGGTCCCATAGTCACGGTTGACTGAAGTGGCACAGTCTTCAACCAGTTATGTCTAATATTAATGCAAACCATCCTATTTTTTCACTATAGTTACAATAGTTATTAATTAAATACCTTATTTTTATTAAGCTCAATTTATTATTAATTGATAATAGAAATTAGAATAAACTAAAACATATTAATTAGTACTGCGTCTTATGTCTGTTTGGGATTTTTCACCAGAGGAAATACTGGATTCCAAACTGGTGGTACGGATAAACCATCTTCCCTGTTGAAATTAGGATGTTTTTTAATTTCAATGGCCTCTCGCAGCATCCTGGGTAGATAACGGACTTCTTTTGCAAGGACCTGGGGTTTGTGAAACTTCATTGAATGTGTAGATTTATCCATGACATGCTCGCAGACTGCAGACTTGTTGACGCGACGATGTTTGACATCAGCTATATGTTCTTTGACGCGGGTACAAAGACTTCGCTTTGTTTGTCCAATATAAGAGAGACCGCACTCACAGTCAAGCTTGTATACTCCTGCATCTTCTAAGGCGGGTCTCAGGAACTGAGAAATCTTCCTCGGGGGCTTTAAATAGATCTTGAAAGATGCACGCCTGAGGACTCTTCCGATCTTGTCTGTAACACCTCTCACATAAGGTAAAATGGCAGGTCTTCCCTCGACTGTTGGTGGTTTCACGGACCTGCGGCATTGGCGTGAATCTTCAACTTGTTCTTCTTAGACTTGCTTTATAAGCTGAAGTTCCCCTGCCAGATGATTACTGTCGCAGACACCATGTGCTCTCTGAAATAATGACCCAATGTGAATGTTATCTACATAGGATGCTGCGAGAAGCCGTTGAAATTAAAAAACATCCTAATTTCAACAAGGAAGGTAGTTTCTCCGTACCACCTCTTTGGGATCCAGTATTTCCTCTGATGAAATATCCCAAACAGACATAAGACGCAGTACTAATTAATATGTTTTAGTTTATTCTGATTTCTATTATTAATTAATAATAAATTGAACTTAATAAAAATTCATTCAATAAAATAATTTGTAAAACTTAATGTAGCGTAAATTGGAATGTTTTCTTTGTAAAATTAAAAATAGGTATTTAATTAATAACTATTGTAACTATAGTGAAAAAATAGTGTGGTTTGCATTAATATTAGACATAACTGGTTGAAGACTGTACTACCTCAGTCAACCGTGACCATGGAACCTGTACAGGGCCCGAAACGTTGGTTTGTTTGAAAAAACAAATATACGCGATTTAAATCAGGAAAAATAGTTTCATTTCCTACGGAAATTATTTATTTTATATCTAATATATTGTGGCTGCATACGTCTGTGCCTTTTATAGTGTTGGGTCAAATAGCCATTTTGAGAAATACCATATTTTACTGAAAAAGAAATATTTTTCCTTTAATTTTAAACATTTTACGTTGACACCTGTCAAAAGTTAAAGTTAGTAAACGAAAACAATGGAGCCATTCAAAAGGTTTTTTTTTCGGTATTGTGGAAATGAAACAATTTTAAATCTCGTTTTTCTATAAGTGGCTTTTAGCTATACAAGATTATTTTATAATTCACGCTAAATAAATCTTTAAAAGATATTTCTAAACGTAGAACATGATGATGGGCCTTAGAAATTATATTTTTCAAATTTTTCCAGTTTTTTGAGAATTTTTCTGGAAAAATTTCCACTATTTGAAATTTTTTGGAAAATTACCCAACAATAACCATCACCACCCTTTTATAACATTTTAGTTCGAGTTGTATTGTCTATGGAAGTGTAACTGGCAATCTGTTAAAAAAACAATACCCGCCATTTCCAAAAGCCGTAAATGTTGTGTTGTAAAGCGATATTTATTCACACAAGAAATAAATTATCGTTGTATCTATTTCCTCGCAAATGTGATGATATGAGAAACGTGTGAAAAACGTCGTATGTAGCACGGGCGGTAAAAATTACAAACCTCGAGTCATTGAAAGCCCCATAGCCTTCGGCTTCGGGCTTCTAACAAACTCTCGTTCATAATTTCTTATTTACCGCCCTTAATACCCAATGTACTATTCTGCACTGGATGTTGTAATTAGTTATTGTTATAACTGCATGTTTAGTTATTTCCATGTTATTTTCCAACTGCAGTCCCTCAACCAATACATTAAAAATTTACGAATTACATTTCAGGTAAGCGGTTTTGTACTGGACTGCACAAGCATTTTTCTCCAATATCTAAACATTAATTGATTAATCTTTTGATAGATGGCCTTTATTCTTCATCTGCCTTTACCCATTTTACTTATATACATTTTACTATCATATATTATTATTGTATAGGTGAGCTGGACGGCAGTCGCCCCGTACCATTCCGTTTGACGCCGAATATCTCAGAGTTGCTGACGACCATCGGCATCACCGGCCCTCTTACCGCATCCTGCATCGCCGTAGCTCGGTGTCTCGTTACGCCTAACTTCAAGGTAATCTAATTAAAAAGTTAATTCCTTGCCTGACACATATTTTACTACGTTTACATGTCGCTGAAATATAAAGGCCGCAATTGCCTACTGTTCGTAAATCCAATTTCAATATACATTCATTTAAGTAATTGTTTCAGATCCAATCTATACTTCGTACTATTCTCAGAGATGAGATGATCACTGGTTACCGTAAGAGAATTGAAGATAAATCTGGATTGACAACGCCAAGTACTTCATCAGAAAATAAACCAATGGAAATGGATAACGAGACAATCATCAACATGGTGAACAAAGCTGTTACCGTGATCATGAACAGGCTGAATTCTCTTGCTCTTTTTGATGGCCCCGACAGCAAAGTGGCAACCTTGGTCTCTGCGGCCAACAGTCATGACAATTTGTGCCGAATGGATCCTGCTTGGCATCCGTGGCTGTAAAGACTGGATATTCGAGACGGATCTATTTACAAAACAATTCTACATCTAAATGTTAGTGTTTACGTTAAGATCGTTTTATTGTGTTGTACTAAGTGGATCTGTGCAAATACCGTGATAACATTTTATAATATTTAAATGTTTTTCGATACAAATGATCTACATGTGTGACTGAGAACAAAATGTTTCACAATTTATAGATTTAGAACTTTTAATAAATCTAAAAACTTATAAAGGTTTACTTTATGTATAACGACGTTGTGTTGTTTGGGATTGTGTATCAACGATTGAGAAACGGCGATAATACGACGGTGGTATGTAAATGATAAAATTGTATAATTTTTACTGTGATTATCGTATCCCGATAGTAATAAAGTAATAAGGAACGCATACGTTGTTTAATTTTGTGCTTGATTGTGATGTGTGGTTTCTCATTTCATTACAATTCGTTTGATGATGTATTTGGAATGAATTGCATGTGTATAAGTGACAGCCGAGTACCTGCATAGGTGAAAGTACCGGGACGGTATCAAGTGCGACGCGGCTGACAAGCGCATGCACACCCTCCCTCCCGCATCCTCCGCTGCCGTCGCGGTGCCACCAGCCAATCTCACTCGATCGCTAGAGATAGTAAAACTGATTTCATCACGCTTTCAAACAATAGGAAAGAAAGTGTTAATAATTGTAGGATTGTGCAGGAATTGTTGTCTTTCTGGATCATATATATGGCTTGCTGCAAAGTTATCTGAATTGAAAGAAATTGTATTCAGCATATGATCTTTAGGCAAAATGGGAAAATATTAATTCGTATTGGTTGATTTACTTTCCTGTATATTTGTTTCCGACATTGAACTTTGTAAACCTGTAGGAACATACATTTTCCTGAGAAATTGTTACAGCTGCTTTGATGATAATCATCAATGCATAAAAAGACAATTTAATACGTATGTTTAAACGTCTTTTCTCAAATAACATGATGTTTCAAATGGTATGCGAAGAAATAGTTAAAAAAATAAAATAAAAAAATTAAATAATCCAGCCGGTCTGATTATCGATAAATAAATTTTTACGACTGCATACTATTCTTGTTCTACATTTGTTAAATATTTCGTAAACCTTGTAGCCATAGGTAATGTATATAAAATATAGGAATATGTAGGTCCGTCGTTTATGTCCTAAAAGGTTTATGTGGTGTATTAGCGGGCGACGTCGGCGTCGCGTTGCTAAGCGGCACGGCGGCAGCGGAGGCACCGGCGGCGGCAGGAGGCCACGTCGGCGGCTGAGGCGGCTGGGCGCGCGCCACCGCCCCCGCACCGCGCCTAGCGCCCAGCGCTCCGTCAGTCCGCTCAGCGGCGTCGTCATAAACGCCAGTGCGCTGCAATTTTTCACGCTTGTTGCAAGTGCCGGACCTCTCTAACTGACCGCTTATGACATTCGACAACCCCGCCCTGTGCATTTTTCATGTTTGCATTTCGATCAGTGCTCCTTCTGTGACCTATTTTTTGCGAATTCGGTGGCTCCTCTCGCGTTTATTTATGTTGTCGTTTTGGTGTGGTGAATATTTGTGCTGAATGTACGGACGATAACCGTATTATCTGTGCGATCCTGGCGGTGGATATTTTTAACGATCGACAACTTTTCCACGAAGGTGAGTGAAAATTCGACTCGATGAATGTCAGTGTGGACGGGACGTCGTCGATTCGCCGCGACGTGGCGGCCACCGCCGTCTCGTCAATACGCCCCGGAATGTCGAGAACGAAGTGTCGTGATTGGTGGCGTCTTGGATTAATTCGTCTTTTTTTCAGTCAGCACTTGTAATACTACAGAAATGTTGATGTTTACCACGTCGGCTATCTCCCTCCTCTTAATGACGTCATTCCCGAATAATAGAAAGGTATATATATACACACCTAGCTATACCAGCAAACGTGCCTCCAGTAAATTGTATCAAGTGTTTTGTTTTTGTAATAATATCACAACCAATTGAAATCTTATTAGATTCGGTCCTATCCCACTATTCCATATGATCGACGGAACCGAATGAATAAGAAAACATGGAGAGCGGGCGTCGACGCGGGGCGGTGCGCGGTCGGTCGTGCGACCGCATTCCATACGGAATGCCGGATTATACGCAATGTCAGTGTGACTCGGACCTCGCACGGCCTCTACCTGTGCTCCTATGAGCAATGCACTCTCGCAACAATGTTTGGTTAAGATATAGATCTTGCACCTTAAAATGTTAGTATGGCATAAATGTCGGGTACCTCACTGTTTGCGCCCACACACCAATCACAAGTATTTGCCATCGTCAATTCTAACATGAATTTGTTCATTCTTGAACAGATATTTTTATTTCTATCCATTTTTTATTGTTAATGAATATATTTTTATTTAAAAAGCTTAATACAATTATCATACGAAGTACCTATATTACTTTTAAATAAACCATTGGATAGACTAAACTGTCCATAGTTTTTTATGACTCGCTTAAAGCGTTGTGCATTTATACCCTGTCAACGAAACCTGATGACTAAGATGAGGACAGCAACGTGACATTAGACGTGATCTGTAACATTATTCATTGAGTATAATGAGCTCGATAGTGCGTGCTATATTTCGAAACGCGTCCGTCGTCGCTTCCGCTGGGCGACCCACAATTTACTAGTAACAAACTATACACGAGATTTTTACACTAATGGCAAAAATTTTTTCATCTTTATAAGTTTGCAAAAGCGTATAATTTCACCATTATCAAACAAATTTTAGTGTTTTTTCCTTAAAGGGTCTCTGTTTTTTGGCCGAGATATATTCCCATCTACGCACCCAAATCAAAGTACAATTTATAAGGTCCATAGTTGCTAATGTGACAAAATTCCTTTATCATAGCGATCCGGGTCATGGGTCAAATTTACACAATCTCAGTGACCTTTAGTGTCATTTCAGATAGCTAAAACACGTTCCTTTGTGTTAATTCTTGGAACCAGCATATCATATTGTTTGTTTAACTTAAAGCGACGATAACTACCCACTTAATCGCTTTACGCGTAGTGGGTAGTCTGCGAATTTTGGTAAATACCTTACGAGCTTATATAAAGTAAGAAATAATGACAACCGTTCTTAACCATCTCAACACATCTGAAAACCCGCATAAGAATAAACGAGGATTCTCAGGTAGATCTTTCGAAGAGAACTTAATACTTGGTGCAACTTTTTAGAAATTGTAAGAAGTTGCACCAAGTATTAATCAATGGGGGCGACAATCACTTCAAGAAGAAACAGTGCGGTTACCTCTTTGCATTCAAATAACGCATAGAACTAGACACCTATGCCTAATGTAATGATACTTATTACCCGTACCACAATTTCTAAGCTTGAGAAAGTTTGCCACGACAACGTTTTCTAACTAACATTATATTGGTGAAAGTAAAGAATGCGATCCTTCTACACCAATTCACTTAATTGGTGATGATAACATGTATTTGAACAACCTATTTTTAAAAATTGAATTGTCGTTTTATGCAGAGGACGCCTTTCATTAGACTGGACATGGAGACCCTCACTGTGCACACATTCCTAATTGAATCACGTTCAATTACCAAGTAAATCGGTCAGGATGTCGGGTTTGTCTACTGCGTTTGTAAGTGGTGACCACAATATATACCAGTCTTATTTATTAATGATAGACTAACTGCAATTAGCACTTCCAAGTAAATTGTTGCAGAAATTTTGAAAGTATTTGCGTACAGTCAGTCACGTTTCTAGTTGCAATCGTGTAAAATAAGAAGACAGTCGTAGGTTTAGTGATGAAATCTTTTAGATGTAATAGCATTCCGCGGTAAGCCTTCGCTGTTATTAATCTGTCAATGGCAAAGTGTAAGCTGTTGTTGCTTAGCGCTAACTGCATTAGACTTATTTCCGTTAGTTACAAATAAAGGTATATTTCTTAAGCTATTGGTGCAGTATGTTACGCATTGCTGCCTCTTTCAGAAGCTTATATCGTTAGTATTGTCTCTCGTCGTTTCAACATATATGAAGGGAGTTAAGATCGATTGTTGAATGATGACATTTACAGAGTATTGGTGGCAAGCGAGGCCCTGGTAGGTGGACTATAGTAGTATAGCGGGTAACGGTTCCGTCGTGTTTGCAGAGGCACGGGTGAAGGCCCGTGTGTGCGTGTGCGCCGCTCACATTCAAACAGCCGCAGAGCGCTCACGCCGTAGCGCGGCCGTTGAACCGAATACTCAAGGAATTTCTCCAAAGCCACCGCTTCATTTGCAGACGAAGATGAAAATTACTATTAGGAGGGGATACCACAGTTCTACATGCACTATAAACAGGATTTCTTTAAAACAAAACTCCGCAACACTAGCGACAACGTGTGTATTATGAGGTTAACCTACTTTTGGTATAACTAAATGTTCCTAGTCCTATGTCAAACTTCATTATTATAGCTGGTTAAAAAGTAGGGTAGCTTGATTGCAACTCAGTGATTTGTCTCAAACACGTGTGCTACAAATTTCGCAATCACCAGCATACCATGACAGGGCGCGGTCTGCCAATGTGTCTTAAATTGCGATTAAACCACAGGTCAGACATATTTTTTGTTTGTTAATTTAAAAAAGTATATGAAATATAAGTGAGTTAAATCTCGTATATGTAACAAGGTTTTGTTTATAGAACTGTCTCGTGGTAACGCATTACAGTAGCAGTACAGTAACAATACAGTATGTCATGACAAACTTAATTATAATATGGCTAACGGAAAAGGAACCTTTTGATTTTTAAACAATACAAGTCTTGCACTCTATCTTACTTTGCAGTCGTAACTAGCTACGGCGTCGGTGGTACAGCCATTGTTTCATTCTTTCTAATACTTCCAAGATTTTCAAATAGTCATGAAGTTATGTTACGTGAGTTATTTGAGTGATACAACAAACACGAGTTTTATTGGCATCGGTTCGTGTACCATTTCGTTAAATAGTTTTTAATGATGTTGCTCCGTGATTTATTGCAAAATCTAATAGATACCAACTGGCAAATTTGCATTAAACTTTATTTGTTATGTAACCGTTACATAAGAGGTTTTTCATGTTGAGTTCTTAATTGCAAGTCGAGATTCTAATACTTTTGCATCATTGCTCGGTTGGTACTTACTTTACTAATAAAAGATTGCATCACTCAGCGTTCACTTTTAGCGTTTCGACACTAGGTATGCATGAGTTGCACGTTGCACAAACATCCGGCTCGAAAGACCGACTATCGCCAGATGACAATCAACATTTTTACGGGTGCCAGAAATTGCTTAGGTGCATCTTTTCTACTACACGTGCGTCCTACTTTGTAACAAACAAATTAATTTTGTATTATAATTTTTTTGTCTGTCGAATTATTTCTATTTCCATTCGTCAGTTGTAGGTATGTAGGGGAGCGTGGGGGATTGGGAGCCTACTAAGGAAAATTGACAATAAAAGTAATAATTTATGCAATTTAAATTTTTATTAGTTACGAACGTACGTACGGGGGCGCCCACAGGACTTGAACCTTGTCGAACGTTAAGGAAGACATAGGAGTGCCGTTTGCACAAATACGAGCATTGGGAAAGTCCAGTTTAACACCGCTCTCGTTACCCGCGGGCTCCCAATACCCCACGTTCCCCTAATCTTTTTCTATTATTTTTCATTATTCGTTCCCAGCACGATATAGACCATTATTACTTGCCATATGCCTCTACGCTACACTGCCTTGTCGAGAAAATCTAAGTATTTAGATTTGACGATAAAGGCAGCGGGAAAACCCCGAAGTGCGAGTGTGTTTTATTCCTTTACATTTGCAACTCACGTGACTCAACTTGTTATTATGTAGTTTTAAAACGTCACTTCTGTTTTGTTTACTAAATCTTCATCTGCATAGATGCACACAATAGTCGTAAAGGTAAGGTTTCTCGGTAGCGTGACACGGCGCGCCCAAGAAAGCTGGGGTCACTATTTTGGGAGATAGCACTTTATAGCTCTATAAAATTTTGTATTTGGGATAAAAGCTGTTATAATAGTAGTGGTTGGTGGTGTGCAGCGGGCGAGTGAACGCGGCGACCTTGGGCCCGTGCCTGTCCGCGGACGTTCGTTGAACGCGCCCCGCGCCCGCCCGACCCACCGCCACCGCCTGCCGCTACAACTCGTTTGCGACCCGATGATCACTTGTAATTTAAATTTAGATGCAGGCATTCTTATTGTAGAAAGCAACGTGACTCATAATCCTGATTCCAGATGCCCCATTGGCTCTATTTCGAAAATCCGTCATTGCTTCCTCTATATACACCCAATTAAAGTGTACCTACAACTAACTGCGTTTCATTATAATAATTTTAGTGTGTTCAGCGGTCGATCACATTGTAATTATGTGCAGTATCTAAACTTATTCATAATTGTTATGAACAATTTCCGCTTTATAATACACGTTTATCAATGATAAATATTAGGTACACTTAACTTATTTGCAATTAATGCTAGCGTTGCAATCATGCCATCATCAACCCGTGAAATCAATCGAAAACAGCTCTTAACTATTCAAATTATTAATACAAAGATCGAAAAATTAGAAAAAAACCTTCGATCCGAATGGATTCGAACCAACGTCTTCCAGCAAATCATGCCAGACGCTATGCCAACTAAGCCACGGAACGAACTAGCGGACCTTACGAATTTTTCTATGTGCTTATAGCAGATCTTTGTTTTTAACGACTTTTTTGCCGTTGCGCCATCTGTGATAAATCTATTTCAACCAGGTACAAAACAAATACAACACATACAAAATAAAAAAAACACAGAAAAATTCGTAAAGTCCGCCAGTTCGTTTTGTGACTTAATTTTAATAGCGTCTGGCACGGTTTTCTGTAAGCTGTTGGTTCGAATCTAGCCTGCTCGAAGGAATTTTTTTCTA